CTTTGCTACCATGCTAAAGCCTTTTAGGGACACTGTGTGAACTTAAAACCAATTAAAAGTGATTTTTAAGTGAAAATATTTCAGTTTGTGAGAGGGGTAGGTAACTTGATTTCATATTTCTGGACACTCTTGTCCACTAAGTATTGATACAGGATACAGGATGTTAGTGAAGAACAAGAGGAGGAGGAGTAAGTTCTACTATGAATTCATGCTAAGACAAAAGTACCTGCCAGTGGAGTTCCATTAGCTGCTAGTACCATTTGTTCTGCAATTGATTTGGTTCTGGAATAATGATCAACATGCTACGGAGAAAAAGCAAATATGTTTTTATCTGTTCTTGAAATGACAGGGCAGAGGGACATCTCTTCCCCACTAGTATTTACTTAGCAGATGGCAACAAATAGCTTAAAATACAGAAGCCATGGGGTATTAGTTTAGGATAAAATAGATGCATATTGCTAAGGTAAGCAAGCATTTTTGTTTATGCAAATCCAGTTAATTAATTTCAGCACATTTGAGAAGCAATTAATATATGTATGCTTTGAATGCTGCCAGGAATGTAACAGATCACTGCTTTTTAATCTGGATTTCTTTTCAGGTAACGGAAAAGTCAAAAGCCAAGTTTTGAGGACATTATGATTGGTCTGAATTATCCTGCTGTTGCCTCTTTCTTGTGGCACTGCCCACAGAACATATTATTTGATATATTACTGAAAATATTATTCAACATTTTCTCTATCCATCTCTACTTCTTGAAAGACTGTGAAGTACTTGATGGAGAGAGCCGGGACACAAAACCCAAGTACATCCAAAAGTACTTTCTCCTTTTCAATGAAATGCAATAAAACCATATAAAACCAGTCTGGTTTTCCATATTAGCCCTACACTGAATATACATCATGTTCAATATGGGAGAAACAGAAAAATAATATAAATAACCAATGGCTAAAGAGGCACCAAGCCATATAACGCAATCCCCATGTCAAGGTGGAATTTCATTAATGTTAATGAGTTATTTTCCAAAATTAAGGCCTTTATAGGAAACAAAGAAATATATACTGCAATGTACATAAAACTGATGTGTCAAGGCTGTGATGTGTCAAGCCACAGACAGTGTCAAGGGTTTTCTTTCTTCTTTCTTGTGCCTGGATTCTGGCATCAAGCAAAACATGGTCATGAAAACTCCAGGCTTCTTCAGAAACAAGAAAGTAAATTAAGAGGAAACTTAGAAAAAAACAATACATCCAAAATACCTTTTCAGTTGGAAAATATGGCACGGTTTCCTCATCACCATCTTCAACAGGAAGCCCTCCAAACACCACATTTACTGTACTGGTGTATACCAATCTAGTGATGTTCCTTTGCTTGCAGGCTGCAGCAGTGTATAAGTAAATTAATTTAGTGGAAAATTAAACAATATGGAAAAAAGTCTGCATGACCTTTTTTTGAGAAACTGACAAATCTTAAAAAGGCAAACCCTTCCATTTTATGATTGTGTTATTTAAAATGTGAAGCATATTTAAAGGGAAGACATCAGTATAGAATGATTAAGGTTGGAAGGGACCCTAAAGATCATCTAGTTCCACCCCCCCTGCCACTATGAGGGACACTTTCCATTAGACCAGGTTGCTCAAAGTCCCATCCAACCTGGCCTTCAACCTTGCCAGGGAAGTAGAACCAAGTGCTTTATGATCTGGCACATCCCCATTTGGATGCCGTAAGCCAACATCATGTCTCAGGGAGGGCTGCTGCCAGCCCACTGAGACAGGCTTCAGCTCCAGCCAGAGAGCTGGCTGGAGTCCACCCACTGCAAGGGCTGCCCACATCCTGTGCACAAGCTGCTAGAGAGCAAGGAGGTTGACTGCTACAAAATGCACATGGCAGTAGTTAACTCCTTACATGGATACAGATTCCAACATCAGGGCAAGTGCTGTTATGAAAAGCGGAACTAGTTAAACTACACAGTGCTGGCTCTCCTGTCACACCCCATCAAAGAATCAAGCATAACCTCCCCACCCCCATGACATTTTCCCTCATTTTCTGCCAAAAATGTGAAGTATTTGGTAAAGAATAGCATGTGCCAAAAAAAGCCAACTGGCTTTTTCTAAGTGCTGCAGTATTCTGATGTGCTATACTAACACCCAGTGGTAAAGTTAGATACATACCATTGATGACAAATCTTGTTCCATGGATATTTATAGTTTCAATCTCTTCTCTGTGCAGCTAGTAAAATAAAGAAATTGTGCATTTACACATTGTGACCTTACACCTAGGAGTTCCATGGTGGCAGGTTTAAGGTTTTGGAGAGAACCAGCCTCGCCTGTCTTTCCTTTTGTCTTCACACTATTTCAGAACTCTTCAATACCATTTCCAACTCAAAAAACCCTCCCAGGCTGCTGATGGAGCCTCTAAGGGGCAGGAAATGATTTCACAACTAGGAAAACAGTCCTGTAAACAGACTGCTGGTAGCTGGCACACCAGTTTGCACTGACCAATTTACCAAAACAGCATAATATGGATTCAGGCTCTCAGGATAATCTGAGGAGATGAAATCTAACATGCAGCGTTACAGCATCAAGTCTCTCATCCTCAGTGTGGGCAGTCACACAGAAATAAAAAACCCAAACCTGTTTGGACTCACTTGCTCTCTTCCTGACATTCCATATGATGCTACATGAAACACACAGTCAGCCCCTTCAAAGGCTGCAAATAGGGCATCATAGTCCCTGACATCTGCCTGTAATACATAAGAAAAGATATTTGGTCTTGAAATCAAAGCTGCAGGTTAGTGTTTGTCATACACAGAGGGAATGCTTATGTGTAATTGTACTTATTGTACATCCCAGGCCCATTTAAGTTCTTGCTGATAATTATACTTTTCTTTCATAGAACTCAAAGGAGTTGAGTTCTATGAAACTTTAAAAACATTCATTAAGCCTTATAACCTTCCACTTGTGGTCATTCTACAAGTGCTTGAACTAAGGGCAATACTTCAGAGTCAGGAGGTGGAGCGGGTACTTTGTGCTACACATTACCAGTTTCATTGCTTTGCTTATTTCACATACACTAAAATCAGTTGACCAAAAATCATGTGGGATATTCACACAATTAAAAGGGTTATTGAAATTTGCAATTATTTGCAATTGGGTATTTGGGTTCTGGGAAAACTAGTAAGACATTATGGAAAAGGCAAACAAACTGACTTTGACTGTTATGGAAATGTAACTGATCATACCTGGATAAACACTACTCCACTGGGGATTTCCCAGATAGGCTTTTGTATGTCATACAGAACAACAGAAGCTCCTCGGCTGGCAAGAGTACATCCCAGCTTGCATCCAACATAGCCTCCGCCTCCTGTCACCACTGCTCTCATCCTGTTTTCATTCAGTACTCCAGCATATCCATTCACTTTGGAGTTAGAGGCTTGGTGCCAGGGTGTTGCTACTCCACTCAGTATGTTTGCCCTCAGTGAAATGCTGTCTGCTATTAGGAGACAACATGTAGCAATTTCTCCTCCATGTTGAAACTGTTCATAGTGCTCATGGATGCAGACAGTCCCAGTGAGTTTCATGTTAAGAAGCTCTATTCACAGCAGCAAAGTTTTAGTTAACGCAACCTGTTTAAGACAGACAAGAGCAAACAATAGCTGCAACATGTTCACATTTCAAAGATTTCTTTTAAAAGCTCCATTTCAGTGTTCTGCTTTGATGGTTTTAGAGTTTGCTTAACAGTAATTTTCACATTTTACAAACTTTTGAAATGTCTGTTTACTAGATAGTAAAGACAGCATCCTGAGGCTACATAACAAGGGCTGCCTGTTTTAGACTAAATATTTATTTGCAAATGGAATCCAGAATAACAAACTAAAAATAATTAACAAAAGGTCCCAATGCAGAGAACATGAATCCAAATATTTCTTACAGATGGGTCAAAATTAGAATAATGGTATAGACCATAACTTTTTATTAGCAGAAAAGAAATTGCTGACTCTCTGAAATGCATCTGCTTGCCCTAGTTCATTCTGCTCTGTGTCACAAGCTCTGAGACAGCCTTTAGGGGTCAGATGTGATAGAGGGCCACACCTGAGCTTGAAATCCTGAACTGTTAGGAAAACTCTAAAGATGAACAAATTGCATTTAAGCTTCTGTGCTTAAAAAACAAGCAAGCGGGGCTGAGCAGAGCAGAATGTCCCCTAGAGCAAAAGAAACCTTCAATGCTTCTTCCACTGGTCCCAAAGACATCTGTCACAAAGACAGATCTGTAACAGATCCGTCACAAAGTGGTATTTCAGCTCCTAAGTAGCAGCAGCTAAATGTAAGTTGAGAACACACAGTGGTTTTATCATTGACAGTGGTAAAATTGAGGTGCATGAGGATTTCATAAGTGTTACAAAGCCATCAAAACAGGAGTGCCTGATGCTTAGAACTTGAGAACACAACTTTTGGGGGGATCTAGAGTGAACTAACTGCTACATGACAGAGAGGATCAGAGTACAGTAAGAGAAATGCAATAGTGAACCATTTACTTCTTGAGCATGGAGTTTCTTTCCCTCTGCAATGGTAAAGGGTTCATCACTGAGAGAGAAGGCATTCAGAGGCTGCAGATACCGATGTTCCCTCACCCTTCCCCGTGCCGCAATAAAACATTAAGTGTCACCCGAGCTCCTCCAGCTATTCTCTGCATCTCACTTGCAAATGCCCCAGGGAAACACGCCGGCGACGGAGCCCCGGCCCGGGACCGGTTCCCCTCCCCGGCGGGGACCAGCCGTTGGGGCTGTTGCCCGCCCCGCTGGGGCTGCGGGGCTCGGCCGGGCCAGGCCGGCCCGGGGCGTGAACGGCGGCCCCCGGACCCCCACCCTGAAGGAGAGGGGCCGGGCCGAGCGCTCACCTCCGCCGCCATCCCCCGCTGCTCACCCGCCGCCTCGGGGAGCGGGTGCTGTGCACGGGGCTCCTCCCGCACAAGGGCCGCGCCGGGCTCCCGCAGCACCCGGGGCCCACTCAGCCGCAGCACCGCCGGCATCCCACCGTGCACGCAGGCGGGGGTCCCGCGGCACTCCCGTGTCCCACTCATCTTGTAGCGTCTTTGGAACCCCAAACTCTTCCTGTGATACTGCCTATGCCACAGCACCCGTGGGAGCCCTGGGATTCCATAGCATTCCTGGCTTCCCAGAGCATCCCTGGGATCCCACAGAATTACCTGGTGGCTCTTACCTCCATGTGTCTTCATACAGCCGCGACCGCTGCACTAAAGCATCCTGGCAGTAACTGGGGCTCCATCCAACTGAGATACCTGTTGAACAGGTTGTTCAGGAGAATAACCACCACGTCTTGATTGCCGGCTGGATAGTCGGTAGGACATAGCTTGGAGAGGTGCAGAGCATCAGAAACACCTCCAAACCAGCAGGAATTCCCAAAGAGGAAACATGATCATGAACAAGTAGGTACGAAGGTCCCTGCCCTCCCCAGCCGGTGGTGGGTCTCTGTTCAGCTCTGTGGTTGCTCGTGCCTGGGAGGATGCAAAAATGGTCAGGAGCTGCAGAACTTCAGAGTTACCCATTCCAGGCAAAAATTAAACCTTGAACATGTTTACCTCCTCTGTTATAGCTGTGCCATGTCTGAACGTTCATATTAAATTTTAATCACTTAAAGACACATTTGCAATTATGTTAGAATGAAAGCAACTTGAACAATATCCAGCTTAAACTAACATTCAGGAAAGACTGACAGAAATTAGACAACTGACTGTTCCAAACAGGTACTAAGAGCTGCCTTAAAACTTCAAATACCAGATTTGTAATTGATAAATCAATTGAATGAAGCCCGTAATAATCACTATTGTTACGACAACTGGCTGTTCCAAAGAGGTACTAAAAGCTGTCTTAAAGCTTCAGATACTGGATTTGTAATTGATAAATGAATTGAACGAAGCCTGTAATAGTCAGTATTGTTATAACAGTGATATAAAATACACCTTACCTGAAGTAACACATCAGAGGTTTGGTATTGCAGGACTGGAATGGTGCAGGCCTTGCAGCCACAAAGCCAGAGAGTTCCTTGGTTAGTCCTTACTGAGGAGCACCCACAAAAAGGCCACAGTCTGCACTTCCTACTGGGCTGCAGCCAACTGCCCGATGTCTCTGCTGCAAGCTGTTGGTGTAATCTGGGATGCAGGCTTGAGCTATTAGTCTAATAAAAGCAATATATGAAAGATTCATAAATAACTAATTTAAAAGCAAGTTGTATGTTTGCATACAGTTAAAATGCTCACGCTGGGATGTAACTTGACACTTGTGATTTTCTATTCTGCATTTCTAGGGAACATAGGCTTATGCATTGCCTCCTGCAGTGCTCACTTGTCTGTCAGTCAGCTGCACCTCTCTACTGATAAATTGTGAACTTACCTGGTTTTGATTAAACTTGGATAAAGGTCTTATATATAGCAAGTTTCTTTAAGATTCCTGACAATAGGAGACAGCTGAGTAGTGCCCCTGCTAAGGGAAGACGTAAGCTTAATTTGTATGGATGAGGACAATCTCCAAATGCTCATCCACAATAGACCAGGCTTTACTGCTTTCTCTGCAAACAGAACTATTTATTTAAAGAAAATGAGAGTAAAACAAATCTTTGCTCACATAAGCTGCAGTGGTAATTGTGGTTGCTTGCACATTTTCCTGTCAATGTGTATCATCTTTCACCTATAATGTTTTATTCTTCTAAGGTTGCTGTTAGGTTTCCTGTAAATATAAAGATACAATGAGAGAGTCTCTATAAACTAACTTACTGGTCTTAAAAATCCTGTAAAATGCAAACAGACAAAATTAACACAGAGTGGAGATTACCAGATGGCAGAGCTTTTTCATCACTCTCTTCTGTGACCCACCACAGCAAGTCCCCCCTTCCTTATCCCTGTGGGGTGCAAGACAGGGAACAGCTGCTCCTGGGTGAGAGCAAAGCTGGTCCCTGAGAAACTCCTTGTGACAGGTAACCTTATGGAAATGCATCTGGGCTACACACAGTATGTGTACATGGGGTGCACAGGTAGCTCACATAAGACAATCCACCCAAGTAGTAACTAACCTAAGTCTTAAGAAAGGGGAAAAGAGAGGCTGGAGACTCACTCAGGTCTTAGTGCTTGGCTTGTCTGCTCATCCTGAAGTGGCAATTTTTTGATCAAACAGAGTGTGCTAGCACTGGTGCAGGGTTATGGATAGTCAGACCTGGCTCCATTTACATGGCAAGGTAGCAGTGACAGTGTGCTGGACTCCAAGCTCTTATGTGACCTCCTCCCTCCCCCTTCCCACAGGCTCCTTAAAACAAGTATTTGGTTCAGTGATTATTTATTATTGCACTGAAAGGGTATTAGTTGATTTACAAACATATATAATATTATTTATTACATTTTTACAAAGCTTTTGAACAATAAAACTATTTTACATAAATATGACTTTCATCCTCTCACCACCTGTCATTTATAAATCTTTACTTCTCATATGGTTCGTACTATTACCCAGGTCTTCATAATTCCTCATACTAACAGATAGTAGCTGTAGCAGCAACTTCCTTAGAGGAGTTTAGTCAGCCTTCTCTTCATTGGAGCTACTGGACTTGTTCCAGCGCTGCAGTCCCACAGTGGTTCCTCTTCTTCCAATTTCTTACCCTCCAGAATTATCATTTTCAGAAGAATCATTCTCAGCATAAAGCAGTCAATTCATGAAAATCCATTAAAACAATTCCTGCACCCATTATTGATTAACTCCTTGCATTTTGTGGCACTGCTGTTCTTTGGGAACAGTTCCTGATGTGTCCTGTGTTTTCACTTTTGTGGGGCTGATTTGGTTTTAATGAGATCAGAGAGATGTCATCTTAAGAACAATAAAGGCCATAACAATTGAGGAATATACTATGACCAGATCATTAATAGTCAGAAACAAAATTAGGGTTTTTGGAACTGTTTTTTTGATTTTAGAAGAAAGAAAGAATGATCAAACTTAAGAATATGCCAAAAGCAAACAGCATTTTAAGGCACAAGTGATCTTCCTGGCAAGTAGGTCTTGTTTTAATATAATGATCCACAGAATCAGCAAATGAGAATTTCTTTGGTTTGTAGCCAAGCTGATTTCGTGCCTTGTCTATTCGGAAAGTGTGAGTTACAGTAACATTCCACACCTACAATCAAAAAGGACAGTTACAGAAGTGACTTTAATATCTGATTTTCTAGAACTTGGATGAAAATACATCAACAATGATATTACAATGGAATTAAAACAAAAAATGCAGACTTGCAAAAATGTATGCATTTGGAGCTGGATTCTGTCTGGAGCTAACAGAATGAGTTGATGCAGCTAACAGGTAAAGAGACAAAGCTCAGTAGATGGAGTGCAGGATGAGTTTATGGTACCGACTTCTCACTTGTGAATGTGAGACAAAAGACTAAGGAAATCCTGTGCAACATACCAGCACCCTTCCCTCAAACTGGCTCTTCTGTACAGAGAAATGTGCAATGGAACTGGATAAACAATTGCAGGAGAGTGGTGTGGTTTCTCAACTCTGCAGAAATGCATTATCTATGAGTGGAAAACACACGCTTTGGGGAATTACATCCTCCACCTCTGAATGCCTGGTACCTGTGAAAATGCTTAAGTTGCATTGTCTCAATGATTTCTGCTTCAGATATACAACTAATGTAGAAGTAAGTGCAAAACCAGATACACTGTCGAATAACTGAAAATCTACAGCAGAAGTTAACGAGGTCCCCTCAGTGTCCTATCATGTTACAATACAGTAAGAGACTAGATGATGGATTAAAGCATTTTGGCTTATATTATAAATCATAATATTGTACAAAAATGTAAGCTAGATCAAAATTAATTTGTCTAGAAGTTGTTTGTTTTCTAGAAAAGTGACTTTTCATTACAATTTAGAATTATTTTTAGTAGACTTCCTAATTGTTGGCTAGCCTGGTACTATGATAACTGCTTTGATCTGAGACTCTTGCTCTGTGCTCTTGGCCCACTTTCCTTTAATAAGTAGTTCCACAGCATAGGACAGTTCGTTGGAAACAGTGATGTAGTATCTGTTTTCCTCTTTGTGCCAGCTCTGTGTCAGTCGCTCTGTCTTGCACCTTTAGGGTGTTTCCCTGGATCATCAAGTAAGCGTTAATTTCTGACAATTTTATAAGGGGTGGCCATGGAAAAATCAGGCTATGAATGGACTGCGTAAGCCCTGGATGGACTTTGCCCTGAGCAGAAAACCAGAGCTCTACTGCAGACAATCCTGTCTGCATCTAAAGGGTGTATCACAGAACTTTACAAGAATTTTTGTCGGAGATATAGAAACATTCTCTATTTTTATATATTTACCTCATTCCTTGTCAAGAAAGGTGTAAAGCTAAAAACAGGCTTGAGTATCACGTGCAGATACTCCATCACAGTGGCTGTGAAACAAAGTTACTTAATGAGACAGCTGGATAACAATAAAATGAGATGACAGCAAACAGAATGAGTGTCAGTAAATGCTGACACTGCACATCCTATAATTCCTACTGGTATCAGAGGAGGCAATTAAGGTGGTAGAAGGCAGTATTTAATTTATAAAGTACATGATGGACTCAGCTTATTTAAATTTTATCTGGCATAATTAAAGCTAAATGGCAGAAGTGATTATTATTACCTAGAATAATGTTAAGTTATATAATTCCCACAGTTTGGGTCCCTGCATTTTATAAAACCATTGTATGGCTTTACAAGAATAAGAATACAAATAAAAAGCACAATAATTATGTATTTTATTATTTTTACCTGATACATGAACGAGAAGAACGGGAATATGTATCCAGGGTTTACTGTAGCCTAATTTCTCAAACTAGAAGGGGTATAAAAGGAAAGAAAATTTGAGAATTTGTACCAAATTGTGGGTGTCAATGAAGCATGAAAATGACTGTTGATAAAACATGTATCAGAACTTTTCCAGCTCATCTTCCCCTCAATAGTGTTAGTAAGAAATGCGATTGAAACCCACTACTCAATCTCCAGTGCCCACCTCCCTCCCACCCTTTGAATACTACTGGATAGTAAAGGGGAAAAAAAGTTATTTCCAAGGAGCAAGTGACCAAGACTGGAATACTTCATCACAGTTGGATATAGGCCCATCTACTGCAATAATTTTCCTGGAAGGCTTTTCCATGTTGGCATCGCAGGATCAAAAATCTAGCATGGTCCCAAATTCCAGCCTGATGCTTATGAAAATATAATGTTGCCTCTTTTTAGCTTTTAAAATACGACTCTAAATAGTGTTTCCTTTTGTGATGCAGTTGATGGCAGAACAAAGAAATAAACAACACTTATAGAAGGCCTGCCAGAGGCTAATAGTGGAACTTCTCACACACTGTGAGCTTGATTTACAGAAATGCTGCTGTTCCATAGTAGGTTTTATACCTCTCAGCTACATTCTCTCGAAACAATAAGGGCCAAACTCCACAGTTACACATAGCCAAAACTTCCCTTCCAGCCAGTGGAACTTTGGGATATGCAGGGAGAACGGGACTGACTCTAATGTTAAGTAATTAAGCAATTAACGTGCACTGAACTTCATTTAGTTATTATGGTCTTCTAGCTAACCATGTGAATAGTGCCCATATAGTGCATTAGAGCTGAATGTGCGTGCAATACGTACTAAAGGGACTATCCATTCAGAAAATACCACATTTTCACCATCATGTACGTAATATGCCTGGCCACTCTGTTAAAGAAGCAGAGAAAAACAATTAAAACAACACTAAACACAGGATCACATTTTCTTTCTTTCTCACACCTACCCATCTTGATTTTTGGACAATATACCAGCAGTGAATGTATACAGATCAGATCAGCAAACTACCATCACTGGACTTCACTGTGATCTCAAACATGTCTCATACTTTTGGGCAGACCCATGGTGGCAGTAGAGCTAATCATGATTAATGGTGTAAATAAGAGTAATGTAGATCATGCAATGTAGATCAGAGCTTGATTTCACTAGGTATTAACCCAACTGTTAGAGCATTAAGTTCTTTGTCATGTGCAGGAGCCAGAATCATCTTCATGAATCCAACAGAAGTAGCAACAAAAAATCAAAATTTAAACCTATTTGAATGTTAAAACTCCTGGGACACAATGTTTATATTGTTTACTTACAGCTATATATCCTTTCTCAGAGGTGAGAGCCTCAGCAGCTAGTAAGTGAGCTTGTACTAGATTTCCTATGTGAACCCAGTTCATCTGAACTTCATGATTCCCAAACTTGAAGTTAAATAGTCTCCGCTTGATATTTACCTGTAGAAACAGAAAATACACAGTAGTTACTTTATTCCTTTATTATGCAGAGTAACACATTCATTTTGGTTCAGCCTGAATACTTAGAATTTGCTGTATTTGTGTACAATTACAGCACAAGAAATGTGTCACAGGGCTAAAAAACAACCAGGTGGTAGTTTTATAAATCAAGGACTGTTGCACTGATATGCAGTGGTAAAACATTGTGACATTAGTGTTTGGCTGCAACTAAAGTGCATATTTACATGACATTATTTCCATTAAACGGCCAGGGATGCAAGTTCTACCATGTCATGTCAGCCTAGCATTTTTTTCTTTTCACTTAAAAGTACTACTTGATCCTTGACATTTCTGCAATGCTCGTATCATGCTACTTGTTATCTTGCATCAAATGACCTATCACCAAGCTTTAGTAAGAACTACATTCAAGGTACTTCCACTTATGCTATCCCCTTACAACCAGTTGCAGTGTCCTTCAGAAATGACTACTTAACACATACGGCTACTCGCGGCAGATGGCGCTGCTCGTCTGGTCCATATATGCCTGGTGGACGAAGCACACAAGTATGGAGCTTATCCCCTCCTTGGAGAGAGAACAAAACGTGATTTTCAGATAGCTTTAATATCAACATCCGGCTGACATATATTGTCTGAATTTTACATTATGAAGAAAAGGACCAGTCTGACCATTCTATGTGATTCGGCTTCCTAGTACCTTGTTTTCATTCATGTATAAAATTGAATGCAATAGTAGTGAAAAGACCCTAGCTTAGCAGCCTGAAAACCTGATCTCTCTAACCACAAATGGACAGGGACAGAACAAATCAAAACTTCCTTCATCTATGCCTCCTGCTTGATTGACTTTTGCTGTTTATTGTAGATACAGTTTATCATGTACATATTTGTCCATCATTGTAGACACATGCAAAACTAGAAGAAGGTCATTCGATTTGCTTTATTTAGAAACCTTGCTTGCTTGCAGCTCAATGGCATCACAAAGGAATGGAAGATGTTTCTTATACAGAGGCTTTCGAATGAGTTAGAATATTTTAACTCAAAATGGATACTTTAAGCTTTACATGTGAATCAGTAAGCAGACGACTCTGACTCCTGAGAACAGGCACAATTACATCTTTTTATGCGGGCAAGAGGTGGTAGGATTTGCTCAGCAGTTAATCAAGGATGCTAAAACTGAAACCCCACCTAATTTTGTAATGTCAACTTTTCAGTTCAAGCAAATCAGTAGGAAGAGCAAAATATTTTTATCTTTGTAATAGCAAAATATTATTAATGTTGTAAAAGCAAAGATAAAAATAGTTTCCTTGCCATGTACAGATAGATTTTTAGCCTCAGCTCTTCATATGCATGTCTGACTTTAGAAGCTGACATAACCCTGATATTGCTGATATGTTTAAGAAACTGCAGCTATTCTTGCCAGACACGTAGAAGCCTTTGGGGATTATGAGAGTGACCTATTGGATAGTGTTACAGTTTGGTATTATCAGAGAAGGTTGAAGTGATAGACTGAATGGAGAATAAACACACAATTCCTGGATCTACTGTAAAACTGGTTAACTTTTAAGGTGATTCAAATAAATAAGGGTAAATTTTCTGAATTCTCCCATTTATTGTTTGAATATAATCCCTTATCTGTCTAGTTATACACATTAAAAAAATTAATCACTCACCAAAGGGAGGAGTAGAAACAAACAAAATAAATCCTTATTTCAGTTAAAGTATACTATTTATTGATAAATGAGCTTCCAGAGAATGGAATACCCATTAGCACTACTAACAATAGGAAAAACCCAAATATTTTATATGTACCTTTGAGTAAAGTTCCATTAGCAGCAAGAACCATTTGGTCTGCAATTGCCTTTGTTCTAGAATAATGATTAAATTGCTATAAAGAAAGGCAGAATATGATCAACATTTTAATCACATTATTGCACCTGTAAAGGTAAACTTCCTGTTTATGTCTGATACCATTTAAATCTAGCCAGCTTGTAGAAATCAGCTTAGTAAAACCAAACTAGAAATAACAAGAAGATTTAGCAAATACGTATTTTTTTAATGAGAAAGAAACTTATCTGACTTACATACACAAGTTTAGCTTCAGAGTGAATTTAAATCCACTAGTATTTACTTAACTTGCTTTTTTGTGCTGGATATACTGAAAAGAAATAATATAAAGCTAAATGTTCTGGTGGGTCAGGTAATTTGATTTTGAAAAAAAAATCTATTTTTAGCTGGGAAAAGTTTTTTTAAACAGTAAATTAAATCTGAAATTAAAAATTCAGACTTTCCTAAAAATGCTTCCATTTCTTATTGAAACTATTTGGGAAGTTATAAATACTTCTCTCCCAGCAGCATCTTTTACCATTAACAATTGCACCCAAGCGTATTTAGACAATAGGATTCTGGACGCAGCTAGCATGTGCTGGCTTAGTGATTACTTATCCACATGAGGCTATTTATGTATCATATATTGAATTTTGTATTGTCATACTTGACACTGAAAAATATACCTAAAAGTCCCACCATGGAAAATTACTCTCAGGTAGCTTGCTCCACCTGCTTCACCTCCCTCTATGCCCCACCTCTCTTATGTACACTATTACATGATCACCATTAGAGAGAACATACAAGTAGGGCTCAGACACATGCAACTAATTGCAAATTCCTGAAATGCTTCCTCCAAAGTCTGCTGTGCTGTGCAAGCTGTGCACAAACTGACACATACAACTAAGTGACTTAGGAGGCACCAGCAGAGTAGCAGTCAGTCCTATTTAAGATTCCTGGACACAGGATGTACATTCTGAAATTATAGCTTTTAACAGCAGGCAGTGTACTGGGAGCAGGAAAGAACAAATGGAAAGAGTGGCCAGAATGCATTGAGCTTCACATTTCAGCTAGAAAATATTTCCTAAATGATCATAGTAGAGAAGGAAATGGTATTTCTGAGCAGCCCAGAAATGACTGTAACTACTGCCTGGCCTGCAGCAAGAAAGCAAGGTTTGGGAACTTCAAAGAAGCAAAAATGTGTGTGATAAAGATGTAAAATTTGCTATTTAACAATATTCTCCAATGCAAAGGCTCACAGTTCATAATATTCATATTATGCTCATAATACTCAGTATTTACACAGCTGACGGTGCCCTGAAAGCCCTTCCTCTTCAAATGTTTTTGATAAATGTCACATTCCACTTTTCTTAGGTATTTTATCATCTCAGATCTGTCTAGTTATAGCATATCAAATCCACAATGATTTGAGTATTTCTTCATTGACCATAGGTCTATTTTTACTAATGAAAAATAATTTCACAGAATGTGATATATCTACAGTAAACCAGCTTCTGCTCTCAGAACATCCTTCACATATTCTATCCATTAGAGCACAGTAAATACCATGTCATCACATGAACCAAATACCTTTTCCAGTGGAAAATACGGCACAGTTTCTTCATCTCCTTCTTCAATAGGATTCCCTCCAAATACCACGTTCACTGTACTGGTATATATCAGTCTAGGGATATTTCTTTGTTTGCAGACTACAATGGTAAATTGTAAATTATTTAAATAAATTATTTAAAAGAAATCATTTTTAAACAAAAATAAAGAGTGAGAAACAACACATGAACTGGCAGCTTCTCTTTTTGAAAACAAACATGCTTATAGAAGAAGATTTTAACATTAGCTTATAATTTAATATGGCATTACCTTTCATTCAGCTGGAATTTTTCATCCAAATATCTGCTATGTAAATATTACATACTGTGTTCACCAAATGTTTTATTACTTGAACTTTACTACTGAAGTTTAAGTGAATTAATATGCAAAATCAGGAAATTTTAGCATCTACAGAGCAGTCAATCCAGTTGCCTCATTTTGAAAACAATGAATTACTGTGTTGTAAATATTTGGAACAAAATAGGATAATAAAATCTATCACTAAATGTAAATTAACAGGTTCAAGCTCCTCCCAGATTCTTGCTTTGCTGGAAGCCTACAGAAATTTGACGTGCAATGTTTCTGTGGGTTCAGAGGTTGGGGTAAGAAGGGAAAGTGTGGCAACTTCTTCCCTCTAACTCATTTAGAGTTTTACTTGCCTACCACTTCACTCTAACTACTTCTTCTTTTTTTCAGTGATAACCCATAAAAATGGGTCTAAATAAAAGCTGCTTTTACCATTTTGCTTTTTTAAAGTTTTGCCAATTGGCTTTTGAGTAAAAAGCAAAGAGAAAGTCACTTTGCTATTTACAATACACTTGAAATATTTTCTCTGGAATTGAATATACAGAAATAAATCTATTAATATTTTCCAGAGACAGCATTTATAAATCAGAATATAATAAAAGGTGATCATATTTAGATAGATGATTGGCACAAATAGAAAATTTTCTATATTAATGTGATAAAATAATAGCTAAATATACTTAGCACATCTACGGCTCTTGTTACAAAATGTTTACAACACAACAAACAGTACAATTTTTCTCATGTTACTCTATGAGGGAAGAAGATAATATGTCTCCATTACATGGAGTAAAGAGAACACATAACCAGTTCATGGAGGACAGTTTAAGTTGGTCTGCCAAGGAATGAAGTCCAAAGCTATCCCCAGTTCAAACCGGCAGCAAATCTATGAGTTTTACTAGGACCTGCACACCTAGCTTTACATCATACTCTGAAATGAGGGAGAGAAGAGCTTCATTTTATTGCCACATCAACACAAAAGACGTCCAATTAGAAGTTTTTTTTAATTCATGGGTTGGTTCAGATGCAAAGAAAGAAAATCTAGGTACATACCATCAATTATTATCTTTGTGCCTCCCACATTTATGGATTCAATCTGATCTTTCTTTTGAAGCTAGGAACAGAGTTTGCACAAGATCAGTTAATTGGACAAGTCACTTTCGCAGTATGATCGTTACTATTGCCAGACCTAGAACAGCTGTGGCCTTTTTGTGATGTATGTGTTACATTTCTGTGTCCTTCTGACATACAATGATTTCTAGCAGTTCTCATTTTTATTGTCTTGATCAGTGCATGAATAAAGTTGAAAACTGAAAGATAAAATGCATCTGAAAGGAAATTACAATACTTCATTTTTTTTGTCACACCCCAGATAATCCATGATACAGAAACAGTAATACAGGCAGGGGTTATGCTCTCTGAAACCTTTCAATAATTCTTGTTCCAGTGGCAATCTGTTCTGTTCCTAGAAATAAATTAGTAGTTTCATGACATTTTTTGATAACATGCTCTATGAAATCACTGTTATTTAGCTTACCTATATTGAATTGCTGGTCTGTTTCCTCATGAGCTCAGAAGAAGAAAATTCATCCGTACTATTTCTACGGCAATTTTGTCAAACTTCTTCAGATTAGAGGAAAAGGATATGCCTTCATATCCAAGATGCTTTTCCTTTTTCTAGAGTACTTCATGTAGTACATTAGTTTCATGCTTTGACTTTTATTATGTAGGGATGATCTGACCTTTATGACTAACTTCTGTCTGACATATACATATAATTACATTCTTTGCTACATGCAAACAAATTTTTGCTTTCACGAGAATAATGACAGAAAATGTTAGGAAAATTTTACTTGCTTGTTCTAATCCTGACATTCCACATGCAGCCACATGAAAAACGCAGTCAACCCCTTCACATGCTGTGAACACTGCATCATAATCCCTCACATCACCCTGTAAAATGAGAAAAGAATGGATTTTTGAGTGGTAGAGCTCATTACATTCTCTATAGAATTAGTATTAACTACGGCTATCAAGGAAAACTTGAAGTAATTCTGATCTATTTTTCACAATACTTAACTAGACTTAAGTAAGACATTATAAACATGGAGAAAAATCCATGACTAAGAATTCTGTCAGTTTTTTGTTGCAAAACAAATATGACTCTTGTTGACTTCAATTATAACGCGTATTTTCACACTTAGTCCAGCATCCTGCAGGCTGACAAAACTTGTTTGACTTGAATGGGAGCAGCATATGCTTGAAGGCTGGAGAATCAAGCCTCAAGGACAAAATATCACAGCAGGATTTGGTGGTTCAGCTGTCTGCCAAACAGAAGAACCCCTTTTCTGTCAGCACCTTAAGGTCTAACTTGCGCAATCTGGACAAATGGTTCTGCTGATTTAAGCTTTATTTTAGGTGCATTGAGTGATAAATTTAATTACAGTTTTGTACAAGATTAAAACAAAAAAATGCACACTGTATGCATCTAATATTGTATTAGTATACATTAGTGTATTATAATCATGTTATTTGAAATACTATATACTAGTGAACACTGTACTGTATTAAATACACACACTATATCTAGTATTGTATTACATTTTTGCATACCGGGTAATACTATATGAATAATATTCCACATACATACAGATATGAGTGAAAATACAATACATTTGTTTGCTGAATTGTGATACTTCTGAATATTATATATTCTTTATTGTACTATAATGAAATTGAAAGAGGAATCACAAAAGAAATGTCTGGAGGTAATTTTCAGAGGTAACCTAATTTTAAGAGGTAACCTAATCAGTCTTTACCTCTCAACATTTTTCTTCTGAGGTTGCCAAAGAAATTCACAAAAATGGTTGACTTACACCCCACTTCAGTCAAATGCTAAAATAGCTAACCAGTATAAACAATATTAGCAATCTTTGAATCACTGTTGAAGATCTCTGAAGTGACTTATTATTTACCAGGACTCCATAGTTCCATTTCCTAGGTAATTCACCTAGACGTTCTAATATCTATTATTATAAAATATTCTCTTAAAAATTGGATTTAAAATCCTCAAAACTGTTGTTCTCCTTTACAAGATGTAAACTGCCATCAATTCATCAACTTAAATCAAATTGTGTGGATGTAGATGAATATAACAACCTCTTTTTTGTTTCTGTTGAACTGACTCCTCATTTCACCTGACGGCTCTTCCTTCTTGTACTGGAAAGGGCAGTGAACAGTCAATATGTACTTGTCTCAGTGTTACTCACAGTTTGCAGACCTCTTCTATTCCCAAGTCATCTTTTTCCTATCCTGGAAAGTGTGTTTCCTCAATCATTCTCTGCACAGCATTCTAAACTTGTGATCACTTTTATTGCCCTGTCTTGCTCTCACCTTTTGCCTCTAAATAATCTCCCTGAGTAGTAAACTTCTTCACCTATGCGAGCTATGTGTTGAATGGCACCTCCCACTGGTGGGAGGACTCTCGAACTTCACTGGTGACACTAAGATCTGACCACCTTGACTCTGCTGCCTCTTACTTATGCACATGAGGACCTTTTACCATGACTTCTTATTGTCCTTAAAGGCTTTTCAGTAAATGCTTTTATCAAAAATCCCTAAGAGGAAGCCTTGCTAATGTGCATAAAAGTAGTAGAACTTAATTCACTGCAGTTAAGTAATTGCAACATACCTTGAAAAAATCTGCTCCCTTTGGGATTTCCCATTTAGGTTCCTGTACGTCAAACAGAACAACAGCAATTCCTGACCTAACAAGAGCACATCCCAGATTGTATCCCAGGTAGCCTCCACCTCCTGTCACCATTGTTTTTCTGCTTCTGTTAGCCAGTAGTCCAGCATGCTCATTTAGGTTGCTCTCACTTGGTTGGCTGCAGTGGAGCTCTTCTGTGGATCCTTCTTGCATCACGACTGCAAGACAGAAGATCTCCTGAAAATCCTGCTAATACTTTTAAGATCTAGACAATTTCGGTAACTTTCATGTTACAATGTTACATGTTACTCCTTTCTTGACTATATTTATTTATATATTTTTATTATCTTAATGTGTTTAAAATGTATAATGATTTTGGTGATGGGTTTTCTATGTACAATGACTAATGAGCCTGAATGCTTTTATATTCCAAGATCTAGTCTTTTCCTCATACTCACAAGTTTCATATTACATAGAAAAAAAAGAGAAATTGCAGGATTTTGAAGACGTTATAATTACCTAACAGGTACAATTACCTTTTTGAATGCTTGGTATATCAAACATTTTATCCTTGAAAACTCATGACTTCTGATATATTAATGCCAAAGACAGATGAGCCTACTAGTCAGGGGAAAAAAATAGATCAAGAATATAAGAAAGGATTTATTCTGCTTTTTAAATACACTTTATTTCACATTTGGGTCACAGTCACCATTTTAAACCTTTCTGGTTAGTCTTCTGCCCAATTCTTACTAACCTTTGTCCATATTCTTCTCATTGGAGCACTCATATACGGCTATACTGACAAGGAACAGAAGCCCTCTGCCCTGGGGGTTCATCTACTTGGGCAAACTGATTAGAATATAATTCTGTGATAAGCCATTTGACAGGAGTTACCCATCTGTACACTTTGTTCTGTATTAAAAATGAATTCGTTCTACAGTAATCACTTCAGAAATTCACTCATATTCTGCATTTAATGTGACTGGTATTTCAGATCACAATATACTCCTAGAAATTAGCCCAGCATATTTTCCCCCACAGGCAGCCTCTCTGTCTGATAACTTGTACAGCCTTTGCACGTTAGGATCTAGGTTCTTAGGTCCCCAGACAGAAATCCAGAATAAATAAGTCTGAAATCTGTTAAATTAAGCCACTTTAAAGTGGGAGCCAAACTGGGTGCCTGCCAGTCTAATATAGGAATATAAACCCAATTTTGCCACATTATTATGGTTTTCTCATACTTGGAGTGGGTCCTTATAGCAACGTCCCCACACATAAGAGTACACCATTTGCCACCAGCTGGGCTTCTTAGCTTAGGTATATAAGCATAGTTAGCTCTCAGTCTTTTAAACCAGGCTGCAATAGAGATTATGCAAAAACTGGTAAGTGGTAGATGCATCACTTCCAGGGTGATTAAAAAATACTGGAAAAGCAACAGAAAATGCAGCCTCCAGTACACAAGATTGCAGATTGGTTTTGCTGTTGCTTAGTTAGGGTTTTTTTTAATATATATATAGTTTAGTTTGTGATATATTTCTTATTTTATACATTTTTAAGCTTTCAGACACAGGGAAGTAAGTACCAGATCCTCCACACCAATGTCAGCTCACTAGGTTCAGTGAACTGAATGGCATAATACAGTGGAAAAGATATGAGCTCCTTATGTTGAAAAACATCCTGACATTTCAAAAGTGAAAAGTAATCCACATTTCCAAACAAAGTTTAAACTAGAAATAACATAATAAAACTAAAGCAAGTAAGCTTTCTTGTTCAGTCAATGAAATTTAAACTGGCATCTCTGGATTATGCTACATAGTAGCTAAGACATATAAAATACTTTGCCTTGTTTTCTGTGAAAATGCACAGTTTTATATACCAAGGTCAAGCTTGTGACATACATCATAAAAAGATGTATTTGAAAAATGGCATATATTTGAATACTTGTTATTAATATCTCCTTAAATTTTAAGTAAGATGGAAGTTGTATTAAAAAGTTTAAAGATTTTACTAGAAATTTCTTTCTTAAAAAGCACTAATAGCATTAATATACTAATCTGCTTCATGGAATTTGAAAATTATAATCGAATTTTGAATGTAAATAATTTACTGTAAGAAAATACTTATTTCCAGAATCACTAACTTCCTTGTTTCTCTAAATTTATGGAGCTATTCTGATTTATTAATGTATTCTGCATGATGAGCATAGTTACACAGTGCACGCTGCGTGTGTTGCTCTTAGCTCCCCTACTTTCATTTCAAATATAAGATATGCACAAGTTACTTCCATAAAGAGTTAGACTCAAACATTTCAGGTTTTTAAAAACAGCTAAAGAAGTAGGTAAGTACCCTTCGCAGAATCCTGGATGTCAGCGTTCTCCCAGTCCTTCTTGTCCAAGTATGATGGCGAGATTTCTCCTTCCTGGACAATTAGTAACACAAGGACATCCAGTACTCTCAGACAGAGATGTTCACGTGTGCTCAGGCCCTTTTGCTGTTCCTGCTCCTTTGTAGCTGGTGGCTGGGCTGGGAGCCAAAAGAGGGCAGGGCTTAATGCGTACATAATTTATGTTCCTTTTCAGGAAAACAGAAATGTTTTCTCCACATGAGACCCTTCTAAGTAGGATGGTATCTCTTACCTTGTAAAAGTATTGATAAGATGTTAGACAACACAAATATACTATTGGTGCCATCATTCTGTACATACATTGTACTAGATTACTGAAACATCTCACACTGTTTTTACAAAGCACCGAGAAAAGGGTTCTTAAGTAAAGAAAACGGGAAAGAAATTCTTAACACTAATGCTTAAAAGTAAACCTCTCTTGCAGTTGTGTGAAACTTTGGTGGGATATATCTCATCTAAGAGCACAGTCTCCTTTTACCTGCAGTTTTCAATCTAAATTTGAATAAAGAAACATAAAATCTTGTTTGGGAGCGGTACTTAGCACTTTCACCCTGAGTTTTCTATCTTCATCCCCAACCCAATTATGTATTTGCAAAGAGACTTAACTGTAGGTACAAGAGTTGTTCTCTGGCTTCCAAGTCGATGAAGCGCAGGCAGCAAACTAACTGGTGCACAGCAGACCTGGAAAAGGTGATTTACTATTACATAATGCATTAAAAATTAATAATGAATTAAATTATTAATAATCATAGTAGTTCTGTAATCCTAAAATGTTTAAAACACATATCCTTTCGCAAACTAAACAATGAGAAATTAAAGCCAACATTATAAAGTGGGTGTGTCTAAAATTAGGTCTCAAAGTAGTTGTTAAGATGCTAAAGAAACACTCCCAAATCTAAGTGAGTACAATTTTAAGTGATCCCATGTTAGAAATATCTCAAGTTCACAGGTGACTTTGCCATTTAAATGTAATTTAATGCTCATGTGCTGACAAGAACTCAAACTGACACTTAGGCAAATATATTTTAGCATAACATATTATGCATTTAAGTCCCTGTAGTCTGCATTAGGACTAGAATATTTGAACTTGTCAAATTAATCTGCACTTCTCAGATTGCCAGGTGAGTGAAAACCCAGCTGAGTAAAACCTCAAGAATACCAAATTCTCTGTTAGGAGCTGTCCACAGCACTGATAGCTTTTACTATTGAATCGGAGAAAGAAAGTAGCTGTTCTACCTCTGGACTACTACAGAACTCCTCCACAAGTCAAAGCTGTTGGTCAGCTTATTCATAGCGTATTGATACCTCATTGCTCAGTGAAAATCAGCAAAGAGCATTTTAAATTGGCTTTAGGTTCCACCTTAGCCAAGAGGAAACACCTCAGAAGAGCTTTCAGAACTGGTATTTTGTACCTCTCCTGTTACACTTATTCGCCTATCTTTAATGAAGAAGTGAGGTAGCCTTATGTCATTCACTGTATGCTGCTAAGTCCATTTGAAAAAAACAGAAGCTGAAGTTACAAGCTGTTAAATCAGGATTTAAACTTGCTTTTGGTTTTGAATCCCTCTGTACAGCCTTTTTCTACTTTTTCTTCTATAATCACTCAGCTCATGTAGGTACACCAAAATAAACAAAATATCCAGTGCTTCTAGGAGATGACTGCATAAAATACAAAAGGAAGGTGTCAGAGAGTTTACTTCTTTATTTACACGGACAAGGCCCACATTTCTGAAATGTTATGTCAGCTTATCAAAATGGTACTCACATCCAGACTGTAAAGCCATGTTGAAATGTCATTGCACTGTTTCACAGAGGAATCTAGTAAGCTTACATGAGTTAATTTGAAATCACAAGCTGATAGATGCACTGATAAATCTGAATTGAGTAAGAAGAACTTGGCATAAAAAAAGAGAAGACACTACCTGTTCTCCAGCATACAAAGGAAAAGACTCATCCTATGCTAATTCTATGGGCACCAGTGCTGGGTACTGGACCACAGTGAGGAGGTCCAGACCATGACCAAGAAGACAGATGTGTGGAGATTGGGTCTTTGTCCCTTTCATTCAGCATGTCACATTAACTTCATAGATGTGCATTTCAGGTCACAGAACAGGAGCAAAATTCCAGCTGTGAGGTAATGCAAACCTGGATAAGGGGTTTTAATTCTGTGGAAGACACTATGCAGAAAGAAGCCTTAACCAAAGCATGAAAAGCTAGCCAGAGGTCTGAGTTAAAATCACAGCCGGATGTTTGGCATGAGTCATAGGCAGGATGGGATGTTCTACAGTGCCCAAGGGCATAAGAATAGCAAAAAAGCTTAAGAGACTAAGCTCTCTTTTAAAGCTATCTCAAAGATAGGATTTTGCTGAAATAAGTGTAGCATAAAAATATTATCTCATTTGTCTTATTAAAAATTCTGTATCTAAGCTGTAAATTAGTAGAGTTGTTTAAGCTCATCATGTGTTTGTAGATCTCCTTATGCACTTGTTCACATCCAGATGCCCAATCGTATGTACTGATGCAATCATATGAACTCATAGTGGTGAGACTCGTTTGGACAGTGTACCAGAGAGCTGATGCTTTCTGCAACCCCAAAGAAGTCTGAACAGATCTGTTGTAGGGTGTAAGTACTTTTGACTAAAAGTATTTAGCTCTTTATGACTACAAAACCGATCATCCTCATAACAAGGATTGAGTCTAAACCAGAGAGCTGAGAGAACTGAAGTCACAATAGTGAGATACTCACATTTTAAGTGAGAGATGACAGGAAATGTTCAAAAAGGATTTAAATCAGAAGGCCTTGCAATGTTAATGGAAAATAATGGAACTCTCTTCTAAACAATATATCTCACTGTGCTTAGAATTTTTGCTTCAAAAAGAGAAATCATGGGATCTGAATTTGGGAAAGGACACTTAAGAATATTTATTTTTTCATATAATCAAATGCTAAATATTGGCCCATATCAAATATTTCTAAGGAATGAAGATGTCCTTAAAAGATTTCCCCAACACAATATTAATGCAACAACAGATTTAATTTACATACCCCAAGTATGCATTGCTCAAATGCAACATTAAATACTTTACGTAACACAATGTTCTTCACATTCCTTGCTAAATTAGAAAAGTAAGATACAGAGGCAAAACAACTTACCCATACCACACTGTAAGTGCATGCCAGAAGGGTAAAAGGAGATGCAGATCCTTATTCCTGTTACTGGACAAAAGGCGTATTTTCGATGCTTAATACAGCAAAACAACAACTGTATGCTAGGACTAAGTTAAGATCCTTTGGGCAGTAAGCTCCCTCTCATTTTTTCATTACAGAAAGATACTAAGCATTCATCACCATGCATTTCAGTACCTTTTGTAAAGAATTCTTCTCTGTATAACAATGTAATTACACATTTCTGTTTAATATAATACTAACAAAGTTCCAAAAGTACATTTAATAGAGAAGATATTTTGCTTTTTCTGTTTTTCTTATAGCCAGTCATCTGTTAATGGCTTTTTCTTTTTACAAGATACAGTGTTTCTAAAACCAAAAGTATCTAGCACTTTAGATGTGTTTTTCCTTTTCTCCTTAAATCCCTCAGTTCTTCATTAACATACATAAACATCCCCAATCTATTCCTTCCTTTTTCCTATGTCTTTGGATATTTATTTGTGTAAGGATTCTGCATATTTCACCATTTCCTCATGGGAGGAATAAAGCACACACAAACACTTCAAAGCACAGCCTTGGAATGTGTCATCTAAAATGCTTTTCCAGTTATGTTGTTCTCATTTACTCTGCGTTCCTGGCTGCTTTGCATGCTGCACAGACTAATTTACAGGTCAAATGAAATGATAACTGTGAGACTGCATTGCCACATCAGGGTAGAATCACAGGAAGAAACAAAGCAACTTCTCATAGCAACAATGAATATGCCCTTTATCAGCTCTCTCTCAGGTCTGGTTAGAAAAGGAGACAGTTTATGCAATATTTGAAGGGAAGGAAAACATGCATCATAAATAAAAATACTGCATTAACTTGTATTGAATAAAGGCATGTTTCTATATAATGAGTAGGGATGACAGCTTGGCTTCTTACATGTAGGAATCACAGAGGAAACGAAAGCCACAGGAGCTATATATATACATGGGCTTTAAAAAGATTATTGAAGACCAATCCTAATAGGTTTCATTTTAATTTAAAGGTTTTCCAACAGCTATTGCACAGGAAGAGAGAAATACAAATCACCATGACTACTACATGGTTTGTTTTCACACCTAAAAAACATTGGAGCAGTTACAAAAGCATAGGAGACGGCTTAGGATGGACGGAAGACAAGGATCTGTTTTGCACTATGCCAAACAGATACCATTTTAAAACTTGTGATAATTTCTACCAAGTTTAATTTACAAAGTTCCATTCATCTCTATTGTTATTATTAACCCAGAAATTTTTAACATAAGCTGCAGAGCTTTCCAAGTAGGAAAAAGAAAAAAGCTTCTAAGAGAGATTTGTTGTTTGCTAGCTATTTCTCTGTTAAGGAAGAGCTTTGGTACCAGATAATCTGTGGTCACAATGACAAAGGCAGCCCAAATCATTGAAAGCATATAAACCTGTGGCTTACAAGGTCAGCCTAATCTACCTACCAAATTCTGGGCAGAATTGATGATTCTAACTGAAAGCTATTCACAGTTACCCATTCTTGCTGCAAAAACAGCACTCTCCTGATAGGTGGCAGAACACATACTTCAAGGGCAACTGGTTTGGCTGTTTAATTCATTGCATGCAAATCAACATATTCAGTGAGTCATGGCAATGACACGACTTACAACCAACCTGCCAGAAAAAGTATGTATCTTTGTTAATTGTAAAACTCCTCTTTTATTATGTCATGAATACAGTGAATTGCATTCCAGGAAGCAAGTGACATATACCTGACAGACCAACATTGAAGTGTCATTAACAGAGCACTCAACTAGTCAGGTCATCACAACTGAACCATCTCCTTAAAACTGTTGGGAGAAGGTAGGATGGGAGTTTCCAGAAGACAGAAACTATATTTTAAAGGAAGGAACTGCTCTGAATAGATAGCAGGACTCAGCAGCCTGTCAAGCAAGACAAAGGCTTCAGAAGCATAGAGAGAGGCTGCACAGCCTGGAAACACTTGCAAAGAAGTTAAGCTGGACAGGATGTAATGGCTAAATACTGTAACATCCAACTCTTTCATAGCTTCTGTGGTTACACAAATTCTAACATCAACATTTGTTCCCTGCTTTTCAGTTGCATTTTTCTTGAACTTAAAACCCCCTTGAGCTCACACCACCAGCAAAGAGAAGACTCCTGAATTCCTAACACCTTCTGCAAGCCTGGGAGCATGCTGAAGGGAACTAGAGAAACTTGCTATGCTCTGCCAACAGAAATAAATGACCAGTCTACACCAGAACAGCTGAGTGATGGGGTGAGCATTAGTGTAGGTTGTCATGAATTTAGGATATACGCACTGACGATCAGTCTACAGAGACACTGTGTTTTGAATGAGTAAAATCACTGAACACCAAATATTACACAGGGAAAAACAACAGGCTGTAAATGAGAAGTTTGTCAGAATGCAGTCTAAACAGCACACTGAGAGATTCTGATGCTTATTCACATTTGCAAAATCTGACATGTGCATTATCTTATTTCACAGGAAGTCTCTGATATAATTTAACATACCTGCACAAGTATATTTCATCATTTAATATTTACATACCCCAAATGAAAATGTAATGATCCTATTTACAATTAACATTTTCATATCAAAGCATCTCAATAGTTACACTTGTACCAACATATATGCTAACACATATGCCACAAGAAGTGATGATGCACAGCACAAAACACCATTTTAACCACAGTACTGGTACTAGCACAGAAAGTGGGAGTCAGCTGCTGCAGAGCATACAACACTAAAAAGAGGCTTTTATGGTAGAAAATTTTGAATTCCTTATGGAGACAAAACAGATGGAGTGACATAAAAGATATCTCCCATATGAAGGTATATCCAGTCATTCCCATCAGCTGGCACTCAGACATGCAAATGGCTCCTGAACAAATTCAGATCAAGTGTCTGAATTTTGCAGTCTGAATCCATTTTTATTAAGTATTACATATATTAAACAACTGAGATGAACTCTTAACCCTCTGAAAGACAACAGTAAACATCTACAAAATAGCAATGAGCTGTCATTGCAGAGTTTCTCAGTAAAAAAGCAAAGTGTATTTCATATTCGTAAATCAACTAGAAAAATATATGCTTTATCACTGTAGTTAGCTTAAACTTCATTTTCTTACATGGTACTAGCAAACATTGTTTATCTTTTTAGGACAGGAAACATATAGGAACCTAACAAAATTGCTTAGAAGACTGGCAGTGTCTGGTTATACAAACATAATCAGGCTTTATCAGCAACAAGACATTACTTATTTGTATGTCTGATGATTTCTCAGTTACCAACTCTAAATCTTTCTCTACTGCCAACACAAAGAACAATGTGTTGAAATAAACATGAGTAAACTTCTGTGGCAAAAACGTTCATTCCAAGCCTTTTTTCTGTACTAAGGTTATTTCTTAAACTTCTGATGCAAAACTAGCACAAAGAATTCTCTTTCTAGTATCACAGCCACCTGTCCCATCTGTTAGGGATAATGAGCACCAGCAAAGAAGTCTCAAACCAACTGCCAAAAAAGTTATCTTGGTCATACCACCAACTGATTGAAGCAATTATTAGTATGATGCAGCAGAATAGAAGAGAAACAAAAGCTGTGACCCTGTATAACTACTAACTATATTAGAAATATACATGCACTTTTAAAATTTGCATTAGTTATATTGAAAAATATCCTCTACATATGTTTAAACATAAGCCCTTAGTGTTCAGGGCTTGATTTACTTTGAGTCCTACAAAGTCAGCAGCACTTATCTATAACTTCTTCCAGAAGTTGAGACAACAAAGAATACATCTTCCCTTTTTCTTTTTGAAGCTGTAAGCTTTAAGCACACTCTGAAAGGAAGCAGGCTAGTGGTACCACTCCAAACCTCTTCCATCTTTTCTTCATCTAAAATTTAATCCTACAAGTCAAGCACATGAATAGTTTTAAAAATACAATTCAAAACATATAAACTGCATAGGCTCATCATCACCCCTGGCAAAATGGTAATGGAAAACTAGTATAAACTAACTTAACTTTCAGTTTTCCTTACTTACATGTAAGGAAATATTTAATTTAATCATTCTACAAGTATGTCTTTCTATACACTCTACAAGCAATAGTATACCTTGGAAGGCTGAAAGACAGAGATGGCCATGAGACAGTAGCTTCTGTCTCTATATGCCTGTAACAACTTTCTTGCTACTACAGGGTGATTATATATCTATATCCTCTCTAAGCCATCTCTCTTTAGTGATCAGCCTTTATGTGCTGAATTCTGCATATACCTGACCAGGCTCCAGATTCCATTCTCCAGGAAGAAATCAAGCATTCTTAACCAGTGGGCCCGACTAAGTACTTTTTCCTTCTCATTGAACGACTGGGCAATGTTTATAAACCAAAATACAAACCTCAGCTATAGAAATAAGAATTTAAAAAACAGTCTCACTACATATCTGCCTTACCCAGTTCTTTGATGAATATCTTGACAGGCCTAAGTTCTCTGGAGCAACTCTCTGTAGTTGTCTGCATGTCTACTTTTTCCTCCCAAACAGCTCTGTGACAAATGCTTCTGTCTTGCTTAATACTGAGAAAAGTACTTCCACCCAGCAGTATCTCTTTTCCTGTAATTTTTAAAGCAGGTTGGCTCTGCCAGAGGTTTAGTTTGTCCAGCTGCTTCTCCCACAATTTTGTAACAATAGTCCTGTGTTTGCTGAGACTGTCTTTACTATTTGTGGGGGCTTTTTTCAATCAGCCTTGTTCATTTAACAGATAAATCATGCAGCTCATGTAACAATAGTTATTACAGCCATTGCATCTGGTCCTAACCCTCTCATGTGCTTAGCTGTTTGCTCTTTGAAAGAGCTAAACCATTAATAATTACAAATACACATTTCCCTTCCTACTTTTATGATATAGTTCCCTTTGAACTGTTCTTTGTGTACTAAGCTATACCGTGGGCTGGCCCAGCTAAGAGCTAAAATCATTACAAATGTTTTCAACTTTGCAGAAAGTCACCGCTGGAAATTAATACATTTTACATTAGGGTTATGAGATATTATCCTTCTACTGAAATATATAAACTATCACCTATTTGTGGTATTTACCTGAGCATTTTTTAAAAGCCAGAATTGTCCTTTTGGTTTATATTCCGTTTTTGAAGTAATAACCTGTTTGAAAAAAAAACAAAATCTAAAGAAATATGCAGCTTTTCACAGAGACATATAGTGCCTTCGTATCTTTGTTTAGCCATGCTCTTGTGTGACAGAAAATCTTTTCATTAAGGAGATACATTGCATTTTAAAGCTCTTTGACTGCTATTACTATTGAAATGGCACTTTCTGGTTTTGGATTAGCAGTTAGGAAATGTAACAATGAACGGAAGGATGATACAATTCAACTGTCCTTTTGATACCTGTTCTAGGCAGGTATCAAAACTAACTCTGAATTATACCAGAAGCAGCAGGGAATAGTGTGCAACCCGAGCTAATTCAGACTGCTGAGATATAGATGGCATGCAGTGCCACCAGGGCTATGCTGCTTCCAGGAAACTAGCACATTAGAGTCCACCTCTGTCTGGCATCACATTGTACTGTTACCTGTTACACGACAGCTAACAGAAAAGGGAAAAGGAAACTTCATGTTGAGGGAGGATGCTGAAGAGAAGATGAGGAAAAGAAAGGGAGACAAACCTAAGGAGTCTTGGCACCACTTATTCTATGCAGAAAGAAGGGAGTTAAAAATTACAGTAAAGAAGGAAAGATGGGAAGACTCATTGTGCACTCACAGCCCAGAAAGTCAACTGTATCCTTGGCTGCATCAAATGAAGCATAACCAGCAGGTCAAAGGAGGTGATCCTCCCCTTCTGCTATCGTGAGACCCCACCTAAAAGTGCTGTGTGCAGCTCTGGTGTCCTCAACCTAAGAAGGATATGGAACTGTTGGAACAAGTACAGGCAAGGGCCACGAGGATGATCAGGGGACTGGAGCACTTCCCGTAAGAAGATAGGCTGAGGAAGTTGGGGCTGTTCAGCCTGGAGAAGAGAAGGCTGCATGGAGACCGCACAGCAGCCTTCCAGTATCTGAAGGGGGCCAACAAGGATGCCAGAGAGGGACTCTTCATAACGGACTGTTGTGATAGGACAAGGGGTAATGGGTTTAACCTTAAACAGGGGACGTTCAGTCTAGTTATAAGAAGTTCTTTCCTGTGAGAGTGGTGAGGCACTAGAACAGGTTGCCCAGAGAAGTGGTAAATGCTCCACCCACAGCAATGTTCAGGGCCAGGCTGGACAGGGCCTTGGGTGACATGGTCTAATGTGAGGTGTCCCTGCCCATGGCAGGGGAGTTGGAACTAGATGATCTTAAGGTCCTTTCCAACCCTAACTATTCTATGATTCTGCAACAGAACAAATTATTCCAGTAGGATTGAGACTTAACAGGGAAAGGGAAAAGAGAGTCAAATTATTTAGGAAAGCAGAAAAAGTTTGAGATTGAGATGAGATCTGAGAAAAATTAATTTGTCAGATGCTTCAGGAAATATAAGAGAACTGAAGTGGAAGATTTAGGGAATCTTCCCAGGAAAAAGGCTAGTAAAAAATTTACAAGTCTTTAGGGGCAAAAAGAAAGGGAGACTGATGATAACTTGAAAAGTAAATGGTTTGAGAAGGGATTGTCTGAGAACAGAAGAAATATCTCACATTATTCCATGCAGAAAATATAGCTCTAGGAGACAGAATAGACAATGATGCAGTTAGGTAAGTCAGGATGAGGTAGGATAGAAGGAGCCCGAAAAGATTTTGGAAAATGAAAGTAATTTGTATTTCTAAGAAGTCATAAAAAAAGGAAGAGGTATTGAAAAGAACATTACATCACATTCACAAAAGACAATTTTCTCTTTTAATAACCCATGCAAAGAGAAACACATTGATTTGGCAGATGACAGAACTAAGCAAGGAGACGAACAAAATGTAATTTCGCTTTGACATAAGAAATGGAGGAACAACTGAGAAAACAACAGCCCTGAAATTTAATACATTAGAATATGCTCAGATCCTCTACTATGATGGTAGCTAATTGTGTAAAACCTTAAAACTAAGTCCCTCTTGCTTGCATATCATTTCTAAGCCTCAAAAACCCCACTAAAATTGACAGCACAAGGAAAGAATATTTAAATATCAGACACAAAGTCAGATATTTTGTCTTCCTTTCATGAAATACAAAAGCAATTACTGAAAAATTCTTAATACTCACCTCAAAGATTTTGCCTGCTTTAAGAAACCTCTAGCTTTTGCTACTTCTTGAATAAGCTTCTTTAAATCATCTCCTTCAAAGTAAGGGAAAACTGGAGCCTGAAAACAGAATTAAAATATTCTACTTTAATTTGCACCTGTTTACTATTTTCAATTTTTACCAACTTAATTACCTGAGCCTAAACTGTCAATCTTCCTCCTCCTGTCTACTTGCAGAGAAAGTCTTGCTCTTAAAAGGGGAGAGTAGAGCAACTCTGGATTGAACATGGTTCTGTTCACTAACATATTCTTCTGCTCTGGCAATCCCTGAGGTTTCCTGCTGCAGCACTGAAGTGCTACAAACAGTGTAAGGATTTTACATTTACATAAATGAAATACAAGATGGCAAGGCTAAGAAGGCATAGTAAAAGCTAAAGTTAACTTAAAAAACCCAGTGTCCAAATGCAAGATTATTATTGGGGTTTTTTTGCTTCTCTTTCAAAAACTATGCTGCACTGTGTAATTCTTTCATGGGTTTCATCACCTGGCCAAGGCAGCTGGCAGAGAGGCAAAGCCAGATATTCAAAAGTCTCCTTTCAATTTCAATGTGAAATATCTTATGAATCTTCTACTTATTTTTCTCATGATTTTTCTTTTTCAAATGAAGTGTGACTATTAGTAAAGAACTAAGCTGAAATGAAACAAAACCAAACCCAACAAAACCAATCCATTCAACATACATCTTCATCATCAAATCCCTCTGCCAACATTCTGTGTGCTGCTAATTGTCCATCCACATCTCCAAAACTGCAGTGGTAGCGCCCTCCTGTTTGGGAAGCAAGCTTCTTCAGAAATTCATTAGCTCCTCTGTTAACAACAAAATACTACGTTACTAAGGAAAATGATTTCTTTGAAAGCAACAGCAATAGAAGAAGAGTTTCTAAGAATTCCTCAAAAAATATTACACCAAAAACAAATGGTTTGGAGGACATGACTGTAAACCACTGTATCATTTCTCATTAACAGTTGTTAATGTGGAATATACACTGCTTAGCTGTCATAACAGGCTACTTTTGGACACAACGTTCAGTGTAGCAATGGAACCAAAATTTAAAGTAAATCAAGAAATCCAGAAGCCAGGCTGGCAGGTGAAGGGCAGTTGATATTTTACATATGGGGAGAAAACTGAAAGCCAGGAGACTCCACAAAGAGTCACACACTTGTACTGCCATTTATACATCATTATTTTAGAGTCCTGTCTTCCAAGCACTAGCACTGCAACGTCAAAAATAGTCATACAGCCATTAATTTCAAGTAAGCTGCAAGGACTGATTCCATCCTAAAACGGGACACTAAAATATCCACAATTAACTAGCAGATTTCTTTGGAAAGAAACAGCAAAAGAACAACTAGACATCAGAAGTGACATGTTTCTCCCTCACTAGCAGAAAACCTGAACAGATAGTTACTGGCTACTGACCAGTTAACCAAATGATATGCAAATAAAGAAACTCAAAATATTCGTAATTACAATACTTTTAAGTTGATTTTTTCAACTTAGGTCAAATAATTCTATGTTTTGAGCACTCTACTACATCCCCCTTTAATGGCCTGAAAAATGACAACCATGCTGTTCAGTGAACTGAGCATGTGGCCCAGCAGTTTGACAATAAACTAATAATTCTAAAGTTTTTATTGTTCTTGCAAAGTATCATATACCTGTCTGCACAGTGAAAAGAAATGGTGTGAATTTTAATATCTTGTTTCTTTCTCAATCTTTCAACTTCTGTCAAAGTCAGACTGTAGCTGGTGTCTGGTTTTCCATCAGTCAATACATACAGTGCCTCTATACCTTGGAAACTGAGACCCTTCTGAAAAGTAGAAAATAAGCTTAAATAATTAGTACATTTATATGAAAAGTTAAGAATGAAAATACTATTTCAATGATTTAGTATTGTTTCATATTTACCACTCATTAATCAAATGAATTTTGGCTTTTCACTTCATATGAAAAAATAAGGATATAAATTTAAAAATAAACAAGTAGATAATCTGTAGCATAATGCAATATATTCCTAAGAAGAACATGACCAAAAATTTGAAGTAAGCAAATTAACTGGGTTTGGAGAACTGCTAACAGAAGGTTTTTGCATAACATTTTGTAAGAATTAAGGATGCTCAATGTCTGCAAATCAGGCTCACAGGGAATTGGCCTTCTTATATTACTGAAAACTGCTACAGTAATTGACTTTGTGAACATTTCTTAATACAGACATGCCTTACAGTTCTACTCGATTTGATTCATGATGGATTCCATAAAATTTACTCCAAGGGTGTCTGAAAGAAGAACCATGCATTTAAGGCAACATTTTTTTTTATTAACATTTTAAATCTTATGAAATTTGAAGTTATTTCAGTCTCTGTTTTAAATTATTACTACTACTAAATTTCTACAGGAGAGAAGTTTATTCATCTGTTCCTGAAGTTCAAAGATTGTGTACTCAATGCTCATGCAATTCCAGCAAACACTTCTTTAAAATCTCCGTTTGGCTCATAGCAAGTATCTCACTGCCACAGCTGTGCATTAGCATCACTTTGAGCTATTTTCTCTCACTAGTATTTGAAAACAAATACTAATGCAACTACAGTTATTTCAAATTTTCTTAAACTCAGTATGAGTAATGAATTCTAGTATCTACTAGCCTTGAGGACAGAAACAGTGGCTTGATTCCAGATCTGTTCATGTTTTTCATGTAAAAATGCTGTATGTTTTGACCAAATAATTTTCCTAAACCATGACAAATTAGATGAAAGTGTTATATCACTAAGACACAGCATCTTCTCCAAAACGTAGTACACAATTTACTAACCTGTAAAGCCATAAGGGTACATGTATTTCCATGAGCGTGGAATGTGGACACCCACTGCACAGCACTGTGACATGTTTCATCAGTTGCCTCTACAAGACACTCCTTCCAAGTCTCTGTATTTTCAGCAAATCTCAGCAAGTTAAACCTAAGGAGAAAGATGGCACACAACATTAAACTCTAATCAATATTATCAGTCACTTCAGATAAGCCAGTTTTGAAATAAATAAAATTCCAAACACAAAAGCAAACCAAATAGGAAAAAACAAAACAAAACCAAACACAAAACCCAACCAACTTCTCTTCATCACAAAACCCAAGAGCCTAATACTGGATTAAAGTCTTCAGCTTTAGGAGAGTCAGAAAGCAGATCTCACTCTGCATGAACAGAATATCTACGAGTATTCTGAGCACAAATGACAAACGGCATCAGGCAAAAGAGGCTCAAGTCTTAAAGAGTTCAGAACTGAAAGTTGGTTAAAAAGAACAGAAAGAGCAGTTCATGTCACATGTGTATTATGCACCAACATATCTTAGTTACCTGTATTTCTTCAGTACTGTATTATTTGTTATTAAGTAATCTTATGACATAATAAGTAGTGCAGATTTCAGTCTTTATCAGTAGTTCATCATACCTGACTTTATTTTTTCTCAGCTGTTCCCAGATAAGGGTGGTAAGTTCTTTCGTGATATGTGGCAAATATGGGTCCATGGAACCAGATGTATCAATCAAAATACAGACATTTGCTTCTAAAATGGTACCAAACAATCTTCGGCTTCCTGGGCCAGAACATTAAAACTAATTGTCATTACATAGGTTTATTTTACTGAACATATTATTTTATTGAGCATACTGTAAAATCTTTAGTCTTTAGGGGTTATTCTAGACATATTTCTACAAAATAAATTCTAATCTGTGTGCAGCTAGGTAGTTCAACAAGTAACAGAGGGATCAAAATACTTTTCACCAGCAGGGCACATTCTTAGCAAAAGAAACTTTAAAGCTAATTTTGTTTGTTGATTTTATTGTATGTATTCCATGGATACAAAGCTTTTGACACCAGGAACCTTAAATTTCTGAATACAACATACAAAAATGAGAAGTTTACATCATAGCCCTAATTACTTCACAGCAAGCCCGATGTTTCAGCTACACAGACAATGAATTCTCTTGTGTTCTTGTATTCATAAAAATACATTTAAAAAGTCAATGAAATGCAAACCCAATTATTTTTATTTATATTTGAGGTCCAGATTTATATTCAGATTTATCATATGATAAGCAGTAGACAAGAATATTTTATGTATGTTTCAACTGTGCTTTATACACCAGATGCACACTAGTACCTGACAGAAGCCACTGTATTCTTTCTATATATCGCTGCAACACTTTCTCCAGTTGTTCAGTGTAGATTTCCAGTTCTTTAGGTTGAAACTGCACATGTTTCACAACTCCCTGGAAAAATCAAGATTTGGGGGTTTTGTCTTCATTTCTATGAAATAGCATAAAAAAATTTCTGTGACTCTGTTGCTATTAAATAACTGGTTTACCCAAATGAGGAACACCTAGCCAGTTGAGCTAACAACAAAATTTGACTAGAGGGGTGAACCAGCTGCATTATCTCTGACATTTTTATAGATGTAATAGAGCAATAGTATTCCGGAATTAATGCAACTAACAATGCAATATTTTTCCATTTTTTACTCACATATAGTTTTTAAAAGCTTTACTTAAAATTTGAAACTGTTTTCCACACTGTATGAACAGAGGAGATGCATTCTCCAGATTCCATGCATTTTCCACTTCAAACATACTAAATGATCTTTTATTCACCACAAGAAACTTTCTCTAGCTTTCTAACAGAAACATGATTCAGAAAGAAGACCAGGGAAGAGTAAAGGAAATACCACACTAGCAAGCCACAAATGCTGATCAACATGCATTGTATTAAACACAAAACCTTTCAATGATGTAGGCAGATGAAGGATGTAAATCCTTACATCAATTTCCACGCTAGGGAAGACTGCGCAGTATTTTGCTGACACTTTCTTGTGCAGTGATGTCAGAGTTTTCTGGTGGTGAGTACAGCCTGGACCAAACAGCAGTCGGGGCAATTCCAGTTTAAGCTTTTTAATACTGTATTTGGATAGCCACTGGTAAGACAAACAGATGAAGCAACTGGTTGCTAGTAAATAGTAGAACAGATTAAGTAACAATATATTGTAAGGAATCACAATTAACGTGTTCACATTAATTCATATGGATAATTCTCAAATGGCATTTCATTAATAAGGGGCAAAGTACCTCTCTGCTTGAACAGATTTCCTCTTTGTTTGGCAATGTAACAGAGGGAACAGACCTTCCTATGCACATTACCTTTGGATACTTTTGGTATACTGGACCTAGTTAAGAAAATGAACAAAGCAATATTGAGAGCCTGAGGTTTAAATCATAGGCCTTTGAGTCACATGTGACTATGGATTAAAACAAACCAATCAACCAACCCCATCCCCACAGACAAGCATTTCATACACAGTTCCGCATTTGAAAACAAATGTGGAATTTCTATATATCAAAGTACTTGAAAAAAAAAATCCTGATTTTTAGTCACCTGCAAAAAATTTCAAGCCAAATACTCCATAATCATCTGAATCTTCATTTTTCTTTAGAGCAGCTTTGACCACAAGGTCTCAAAGGACTTTACAAAAACATAATTCCCCAACACATCCCCAGCATTCCAATTGCAAGTGTTTCTAAAAACTTCAATTAAATCCTTAATTTAATACGGTGTTTTAAGCAAACCACAAAACAAATTGAAGACAAAAAGCCCCTGATCTATACAGACCTGGTGGAATTTCTGCTTTGGCACTAGTAGGACGCCATGCCTGTACTCTTCTGGAAGCATTTCTCTCTGCACCATGGTTGTCTTTAATATACTATAAGCACATATAGTAATAATAATTTTTAGAAAAGGCAATTAAAAAGTGTTTCAGTGGGAATGTCATTACTCAGAACTACAAGTACCCTTCATTGTTCTCTAATTCCTGTTTGGCTCTTCTGAAAAGTCAGCACTTGCCATGATGACCCGTTACTTTGTAATTTCTTGCTAGGTTAAGTAACTCTAATTGCTCTTGCCAATTTCATCTCCTGCTTTAAAACTGAAGACTAACATCTCCAGGCAGATGATTCTGGACCATTTTTGCAACTTGAAGGAGCAGTCTAGTATGGTAATGGTACTGTTTTATAAAATAAAGTATATAGTTTCTGCAGAGTTTTAATGAATATTTGAAATTTAGTGCTGGCATCACTTGCTTTTCCTTTAGGTATAGAAATTTCTAGGGTCAACCCTCTAGGGGATAAGCAGTCTGTTAAACAACATGAACACTTGTTTAACCTTATTTTAGGCTCAGACTTTTGCTGTGATAGAGAGACTTCACGTAACTGACATCTAATGCAAAATAACATACTATATGTAACTGAATCATAGAAATGTTTGGGTTGGAAGGGACCTTCAAAAGGTCCAGCTCCCAACATAAAATACTATAAAACATAACAAACTATAAATATCCCCAAACATCTACAGACAAACCTGTATCAGTTTCCTACAAGTTTAATCCCTGTAAAACTCTGCTACATTGTCACATCTCTAAGTGATTACTTTTTTCCTGCATTTGTGAAAAAGTATTGAGCATATACTGATCTTGATAAAATAGCATGGAAGACCTGTTTGAGCTTACCTACCAGGTCTTTGACACATGAACATGCCTATATTTAAAGTGCCATTCCCATTTCAAAGATGAGACCTGAAAATTCCAGGTCAAAAGTTAACTACATTCTCTGCAATATGAAGTTCTTATCTAGTAGTTTCTATACTGAAGTGGTATGCGCTGGCACTGGCCATTTGTATATATTACAGATATGCAAAGCCACTCAGAACAGATGCACACACAGTCAAAATTGACAAGGAAAAAATCAGCAAAATCCCAAAGGACTCGGCAATGGAACTCCATGGCAATCAGCACAGCAGGCAGGAAACAAATCCTGAATCCTATTTCTAGTTTTTATGCTGGCTCTCTGTGTTGCCAAAGACATGCTACTCAGCTGGCAGCTGTCTTATCTGGAAATGAGCAGAATACCATAAAATTCGGTACTTTCTAGAAAGACTTGAAAAATAGATGTAATTCGGTAAAACACATTTCTGCTTTGTCTTTGTTTTCATTAAACACTAAATATTTAAAGTAAGAAGAGGGATTATTTAGACAATTTCAGACACTGCAATGTTGTTCCATTATAATTAATTATTTAGTGGGAATTAATAAGATGTATTTTTTTTGTTTATGTAGCATTTTGAATTCGAATTACAACGTTGATTTGGGGTACTCTCACAGTGCTGTTTTAATTCCTGCAAATTTTCAGCCCAAGAACTTCTCTCACAAAGAGCAGCATCTGACAGCCAGGTAAGATCTCTAATTAAAACACACAGCATATTAAAAATAGGACCATTTCAAACCATTCTAGCCAGACTGAGGGCTGTGGGTTTAGGAGATGGCAACTTCTGTGGCCTTCTTTTCTCTTTCTTTGTAAGCACGTTTGGGTCTCCTTCTGGTATAAATGTATTAACAGACTGATTTACTGAACGTTGCTTTAAGGATTCCACTAGGACTGCGCACTGAAATGGAAGTTCACAGCATTTAGTAATTCATATACGTGAAATATAGGTAATTGACATTTCAAAGCCAGCAATTCTGTATTTATCACTTTAATAAAAATAAAATTCACAGCAAATTTATTAATCTGGTAATGCTTAACACCTCTAACTGAATAGAAACCCCTTTGTGCTGTGGTTGCTTTAATACGCAGCAGGGAAATCCTTCCTGCTCTGAGCAAACATTCTAAAAGAAAAGGCAATGGTTTGCATGCCAAAGACCAGAACAAACTGGAAGATGATGAATCAAGAATATGAGATTATTAACTGGCAACAAAATATTTTAAGATCCCATTAAATATCCACCAATTCTTAAAAGAAAAAAAAAAAAGAACAAAAGATTTTTGTGACTCAGACTTGCATGCAACAAGCCGTATAGACCTCTGGATATAGATCTCACTGCATATAGCTTTCTAACCACACTTTTGTAACACACAATCACTATATGGCCAGGCTGGGTACACTGCCTCAGTCACTAACTCAGATAACTTTATATAGTATATAATATATATAGGCATATAATATAGAGAGATATGGTCTAGTTCTACACCCCTAGTACACTTAAGAAAGCAATTGTTTCGGAATTGAACAAAAGTATTGTGCCACTGATGAACCCTCCCTGAAGTGTGACTTACAGGAACATGAAATATTATGTTTGTTATAGAATATATATAACTTTTTAACGTATTTCTTTATATATACATCTTTATATATTATATATATAGTTATAAAGAACAATTCTATTTGAGAAGAATTCATCATAGGATTTGCCACAGAAAGGAGAATCACTTCAACTGTAAACTCCTTGTATTTGATAAGGAATCATGGCCACTCCAACACCCATCACTTCAGTGTCATTGTACAACTGCTTTCTAGGCCATATTTACTCTGTGGTGACTATTCTCACACTCTCAAGCATCCCTGCTCATCTTACAAGGATTTTCATTTTGTCCAATCTTCTGCACTGTCAGCTGAGAAACACTGGTGATTTTTTTTCTGAAGAAACAGACAACTTAAGGAGATATATATAATTCATACCTTTTGGGAGTACTTGTTTGCTTTTTCCACTTCAGACACAATAACAGTGATATCATCACTTTCAAAAATACCTGATAATCAAATATATGCTAATCAACTTTTAAGTGTACAAAATATATAATTTTTAAAAACATACATCAATTTGTAAAGCATGCCAAATTATCAATGAAAATAATCAAAAAGCCTTTGTTTCCTACAAGCCTTTGTTTTCCTGTTAGGTCCTGGCAGTCTGGACCTAACACATTAGCAACTATATTTTAAATGCACATCTTTAAAATATCTAGTGGAATTAAAACTTTAAAAGAAAAATAAATCAAATTCCTGCATTAAGGCTTTTTTATAATATTCTGCAATACAACTGAAAGCTTTCATCAAACTAGGACCTCTGTTTATATCCTAGTGCTAGTACAACACTACCACATCCTAAAAAAAGTAAACTACTTGATGGGGGAGGCATTAATAAATATTACTTAATTAATGAAAAAGAAGTATGAGCTGACTTTCCTTTTCACATACCTGCTTCTCCAAACCAATGAAATCTCCCATTGGCTCTCTGTACTATTTCTTTAAAAGCAATTGCAGTTTCAGTTGGGTTAGCATAGCGAGCTGGAATGATCCCATTAGAGTCAACCTCCTCCATTACACTGAACAAACAGACATGAAGCTGTAAATCAAAACCTCTGCAAACCTCAGCCACATAAGCACTGATTGTGTGCTGAAACACAGAGGGGAGGGGAAAATAATTAACAGATTAGTAGTGACCCTCTTCCTCAGATGTGCTCCCAGCTACTTCACTCACTCCTGAACTGACACACAAATACTCACAAACTGAGCAATTCAGTCCAGGAACATACCCTGAGTAGCTGAATGCCTCCTCAATTCATGCATATACACAAAACCTGTCACTACTACCAGTGACAGCACTACTGCAGCCAAGACAGGGCATCTATGGAAATCATAGACACAGGCCATGGACTTAAAGTTACCCATGCACTGAAGCAAAGTAGCAGGGATGCAACTATCCATTTGGCTTTCTGTATATACCCTTTGTTTTTTTATTATCCACATAGGCTTTTAATGATTTCTTAGGTTTACCTAGAATTTCCAGAAATTTGGTAACAAAAGCAAGAGACACACTACTGTGTACACATAGTTACGGCAGATGGATTACCATAGGTTCAGAAACTCTAGGCCACAGAGCACATGCACTATGAACATATATCCAAGCAATAGATTACTGTTATTAAAAACAGGAGCTTTACATAGCGTACTATAAGCTCCATAGTAGAATTATTCGTGGCTTTATTTCCATAAGCTATAAGGAAATAATATCATACAAAAAAAAAAAAAAAAATCAGAGTTGGGTTCTTTTAAACTCATAAATTTGCAATGAAATGATGGCCAGAACTGGAGTGGGAAGGGAACCCTAAAAACACCTCTTGAATTTTCTATGATTCACACATTATTAATAATTGCTATAATTCGTAGATTATTAACAATTGCTACCTCCAACACGGAAGGACCAACTGCAGAAATGTAAGTTTAAGATCCTGACAGTTGTGCTGGCTCAGATATGTGAAGAAGTATTTGCCAACAAGCTATGATGACTAGAAAAGAAACAGAAACAAAAAATGGGAACTTACAGAAATGTTGCACACCCTGTGATAATACTTACTGTTTCCTGATCAGGTGTTCCAGTAGTCAGCAAGTAAATTCCTTGTGATTTGTGTTTATCCTTGTCTTTGAAATCTATTTCTACAGCTCTCCTCAGTGCACTCATGAGATTTCTACTCCCTTTGCACTGCAGGCTTAACACCCATCTAAAAAAAAAATGTTTGAAGAATGAAGCAACAAAACCTTTTGTTCCTGCTTAAAGCGATAAAGAGAACTAAAAATCTTAAACACCATTGCTCTGGAGTAAAAAAATTTTAACAGAGAGCAAAACCAGATTATAGAATGACCTGAATTATTTGTTCTAATTTCTGTACTGCCACCATGGACAACCAGATTCTAAGGTAAGATGCTGAGCATAGAGAGGGAAGAATTCTCTCTTATTTTCATGTGGAAATATTGTCATATAGTAGAATTAACAGGAATAAAAATGAAATGGCAGAGGTGTAATGAAACACTGAGGGTGTGACTCTACAAAAAGCAATCTGGGATTTGTTTCCAGTGTATGTTGGAAAAAACGTAGTTTAGCTTTCACGTCCCAGTTCAATCTGAATCAGTTTTTAATTCATCATGTCACCTGTGCATTTCTCACACAGACACTTCCGTATCTGTGTAATATATATTCTGTATACATAAAAAATACAAAGTCACTGAGACATATTAAACTTTATAATGTGGTTTTCACGAGAAACCATCATGAATAATCACTGTAGAACAATTCACAGCAACGTATCTTTGTAGTATGTTAAACCCATCAGTTTTCTAAACTGTTCACAAATTCCTTTCTTGGTTCTACCCATGTCACAGTACCTATGATCATTTAATTCAGATGTATGGGGAAGTTATCTGATCCTACCTCCAAGCCTTTTGTAAGTTTTCTGGTTGGGAAGGAACCAGTTCCAGCTGCCAAGGCACAATATCACTCCCAAATCTTTAACGGAAAAATAACAGCAATTAATTTTCAGATTTTGCTTTAGAACAAGCAAAAAGAAGAAACTGACTTTAAAAGAAAACTCTCACTTGGGGTATTACAAATGTAAAGTTGTCTGATGTTAACTACTTTCTATTTCAAACCATTTAGTTATGCACATTTATCCACCACTCAAGGGCTGTCAGATTTTCAAGGCAGTGGGCCAGACTACATTTTTATTTGAAGAACAGGACTGAAGTGAGCTAGTGAAAGCTCAGCAGAAGGACTGCAACAAAAAAAAAACAACCCAGCTTTCAGATTCTGTCTGTATCCCTCATGAGGTCAGGGCTTTGTTCTCCCACCAGGTTTGGAACTCCATGAGCTGCTGTCTCTTCCTTTTACCTGTCATTCATAAACCTGTCCAGCTGCTTTTCAGCAACTGTGCCATATGTTTCTGACTCCCAGTGTGGAGTGTGGAATTTTAGTACTATTATATAATAAAAAGTATTGGAGTTACTGCAAAATGTAAACAGTGTTCTCAGTTACGGCACCTGAGATACCAAAATCCTCTTCCAATGAAAACTTAGCATGTTAATTAATGCCATTGTTATGAACAATATAGCAGGATAAGAATCTGTAACACATATGACACAATCCGTTCCAGTGAGCATCACCCAAACCAGTGATTTTAATTAACACATATGACACAATCAGTTCCAGTGAGCATCACCCATCCAGTGATTTTAATTACTAATCTGGTCTCTGTACATCTGATCCACACACTTAACCAGTAACGATAAATCAGCGCTACTCTTACTGACTCTTCATCATAAAATGTTCAATACAATTAAAAAAATTTAAAATAGATCCATTAGCAAGTACAATCTCTCAGCAGACTTCTTTCATTGCCGTGTGTTACAATTATTCCAAAAGAACCTTAAACAGTTGCTTACGCTATAATATTGAAGCAATCCTTATTTGACATTTGTTCTTCAAGTAAAAGTCGCAAAGAATGTTGGATATGGATGATGTACATAGAGTTTGTCACTGATACATCAACAAGTATAACCACCCTAGATAAGAAATGTTATAAAAAAAAAGAACAAATCTTGATTACACATTCTTATCATCACTACACTCTAACTTGCCAGAGAAAGTATCTTTTAGCTATGTATCAAAATGTATAAACACTGAATCTGTATTTAAAAAAAATAAAAATCTGCAAAACATGAGGTGAGAATTAAAAAAAATAGCAACAATAATGGAAAATTCTGAGGGTGGTGAGGCCCTGACACAGGTTGCCCAGAGAAGTTGTGGCTGCCCCATTCCTGGCAGTGTTCAAAGCAAGGATGGACAGGGTTTTGAGCAACCTGGTCTAGTGGAAGGTGTTCCAGCCTGTGACAGGGGGTTGGAACCAGACGAGCTTTAAGGTCCCTTCCAACCCAAACCATTGTACGGTTTTATGCTTCCTAAGCTATGCAACAATCAGGGTACCAGCACATGTAGTGCCATAATGGCTATCAAACCCTAAACATGCCCACTTTCTTCTCTATATTTGGAATATCCAAAACACTCCTGAAAAGCATGGATGACTCTCATGAGTTCTTATTGGAAAATGAGCTTCAATGTATCAACTACCTCCTTTGTCAGTGCAAAAAAACTCTTTGCATAAATACTACCACCATGGGTTTCAAAAGCTGACTGTAAACACTACCTTTTGCCAACAGGTTCTGTTCATGTGCGATTTATGATAGAACGTTCCCCAAAGGCTTACTTGCTAGGTAACTCAAACTTCAGAGTCTAAACCTGTCAAATGGAAATTGTCATTTTGTGTTGACCAATGATCACTGGATTCTTTACATTCACTGGATCATTATAAAAGCTGAATATCAATATCTGTTTTCAGAAGTGGACTGCTTACCCTGATCATATCTGCAATGACTGTCTCTACATCTTAACTGGTTTCTGCCCTGTGTTTCTTGGTGCTGACTTATGCATAAAGGAAAGGCTGGCAAACTAGAACCATACACAAAGAAAGGACTATCAAAGTACGATACCTCCTTTCACAAATGCTTCCCCATATTCTTCTGCTAGCAACAGAGAGCCAGTCAATTCTTTTCTCATAGATTCTTACCATTTTAACAAGGAGTTTCTATGGATGGAATACAGTTAAGATAAAAATAAAGAGTTCAAATAAGTCTTTTATTACCAAATGCAATGTGGCATTGACTTACAACATGTAGCATGTCATGTAACATGGCAGCATAGTAATGAAAAAATAAATGATTTTCATTCGACAGCAGCATTTAATTTTTTGTAAAGACAATACAGTCCATAAGAACATACAATGATAGAAAAGCAACAAAGGGTCTAAAGATCTTTTTTGAAAGCTTATAATTTCTTCAATAGCATTTTTAGGCAGTGTTCTTAACAAAACACATAATTTAAAATAAACACAGTATTTTCAAACACATATTGTTCTTTTAACACAGTATCAATCTGAAGACATTAAGGCAATTTGTCCAAACCCTACAGAACATGACCTTTGCAAGCTTATGTATGAGGGCAAATCAAGCTAGAAAAGGACACTGAATTAAGTAATAAAGCTACAAGATAGCGTACTTTTGGAGCACAGGACACGAGCATCTGGCGGTGATCAAGGAGCCAGAAGCTGCTTCCACGTCAGCTTGTTAAACTTTACACTCTCCTTTTTGACCCAACTATAGAAATCTACAGATTTCTCACCCCTCTTCCATTTTAAAGAAATATTTGTCCTGCCTGGAAATATACCCACAGCCCTTTGTCAGGGCTGCTACTGGAGTGGTGCAGAAGAGAGAAAAGAAAATGAAAAGACCACTATATAACACACCCTGGCTGCAAATATCCACACGCACCTTCTATTTCATTAAACTTGGGCCACACTCTGATCATCTGCATTCTGACTGAGGAAATCTTAAAGAACAGCTACTGTCTATAAAAATTCCAGTGGCCTTCATTATGTTATTTGCATATATATTATATATATATGTATGTATGTATGTATGTATCTCTACTTCTATACTGAAAAGAGCAAATTAAGTCCTCAAAGGTCCTCAATATCCTGTACAGTTTAAATGTTCTCCTGATACCCCAGTATTTTTAAGATTTCCTATATAGTAACACACCATAGCAAATATCAAAAATTCCTACATCTCCCACCTGACAGTGTTCTTAATTCATCTGCAAACTTGACAAAACTCTAGCAGTAGCCTTGCTATCCTCTTGAAGAAACTCTGGCAATTACTGGGCTGAAGGCAAATGCAAAGCAGCATAATACGCTGGTACAGCCAGTTCAAAAACTATGTTGGCACAATTCTGGGAATTCATATTAAGTATGAAGACTGTTTGAGCATATGCTAAAACATGAAATACAAATACCCAGATTCTACTGACACTTCAGAGTAAAGCAAAGATATGACAACCTGCCGTCAAGCAAGCAGAAATAGTTTCTGCTTTGACTCTTAAAAACCAGTTGGCTATGCAGAAATCTCATGTCTTTGACATTCACATTAGCAAACATGTCTAAATGCATGGCAAGAGTGTTGTAGTAGCACCATTAAGGCTAAAATGCTACTCTTGGTAAAAAAAAAAGTAACTTCAGATGCATTACTTCTAATGTGACGACCTGCAGAATATTGCCATTTGGCAATCATGTAGAACTTGCTACATTTGGACTTCACCATTTCACAAAGCGCACAACTAGCTAGATGATTATCTCTAGCCCTGACAAGGCCGCATCATTACATACAACTCACCTGATAGTTGTACAACACTGGCAGGTCAACATGGATATTTTTCACAGTTCCATCATACCATTCAAACTGAATCATTGCTTTCTAGAATGATAAATAACACAATTGTGTGTTTACAGAAGCCTATAGAAGCTACACTAACATGGAATTCCTTCCTGAATTATTCTTAAGAATGCGTAAGTACTTGATCTGAATCAGTGACTCAAATTTCAATTAAGGCCTGTAGAATTTCATGACTTATAAAGTACTGATTTCAAATAGAAAAATGTAGCAATAGGAAGAAAAAGGGAAGAAAAAAGAAAACAATGAGAAAAAGAAAGAGTCCTCATTACATACCTCATGTAGAGTTGATGATACTGTTTTTCTAAGAATGGGTACAAATTCTTCCACAGGAGAGAAAGCATTAGGAGCCAGAACTTGGTAAAGGTTTAACTTTCTAGCTATAGCAAGAAACAAAGAAATGAAATAAAACACATGCTCTGCCTTGTGTTCATGTTTCACACCTGTTAAGATTTTCTTTCTGCATTACCTTTCAATCCATATGTCTTCAACCATTCTTTTGAGGTTTTGGCCAGGATGCATGGTGTTTGAATAACTAACAGTCCTTCGTGCTTTGGAGGCTTTGGGAAGAAGCTACAAGGTGCTGTACTTGCAAATTCTGTGGAAACCTGAAATGGATTTTAAGAAAAACTCTTTAAACTTTCTGCATTTTATATTTTTTTTACCCTCAATCCAAAATATCCCATTTTACTTACGTTTTACTTATTTTCAAAGTACTGGGATTTCAATAAGAAAAACACTTTGAAAATAGCTATAACTGGTCCTCCTAAAGATGGGTTTGGGGGACAATGTTCCACTAACTTCACTATGCTTGCCACAATGCAAAAACCCACAGGAAAATGGAAAGATCATGGTTGTACATACAGGAAATCATCTTTTCCAAGAAAAGTAACTATGAAAATGAGCAGTGCTGCCAAATTTTTAGCTTTCAAGTTTAGTGACCATAAGCAAATTTAGCCACTTCCTACACTTCCAGGCCCCTAAATAGTACAGAGATGAGAATACGGCAAAAGAGAGATGCATATTTCCACTTTAAACAAGGTGAAAGACAGACATGAGTAAACAAACTCTCTACCAGATCAAAGCAAAACTAGAATTTCCAAATATTCTGTAGAAAAAAGAAAAAATCACAGAGTTTCTTTTTCTTCCTCACACGTATTCCATCAAGAGTATTTAGAAGTTGCATTACTGGAGAAAAGACAAGCAAACAAAGAACCAATCCCTGGTATGCTGATCAAATAAAGCGTAAAAATAGAAACATTACTAAGACAACTGTTACAGAATAAATGGCACCAAATCCTCATTATAAGCTAGGACCAACAGACACAGATGTGTAACAGGCAGACTCTGGCTTCCTAACATCAATACTAGTAATAGATCTAGGCAAGCCCTTATGATTTTGCAACTCAAGTAACTGTCCATCTTGATCATGGACAAGTATCTTTTTACCAATTTAAAGGACTATTGAAACTTCATTTAAATGATTATGCATACCGTTAGGCCAGTGGTTCTCTTAAACTTCCATTATGATCATAGTACAATGTTCTTTTCATCATACTTCCGTTGATATATAAAATTTACTGCATTTCGGAGAACATATAGCAAAATGTCTTCTTTACTGGTTTGGGCCTTAATTTGCTTTTACAGTGGATGGCCAATACATAATATTCAAAGTTCACTTACCAAAATACCTGATTAATCATAGTAAACACTAAAATAGTAAGTGATAAATGATAGTAAACACTAAAAACTTCTACCAATACTTCACAGTATCTGATGTACATCTGAAAATAAAAAGATACATACATCTGCTATTCTACCAGTAAGTGAGTCACCAATTCTTCTTTGGAAAGTCTGCTTGATGCTCCGAAGTAGATCCTTGGCCTTCTGGGATTCCTGAAGTAGCAATTGAAAGTCACTGCTATCAAAACTCTGTACATATAAAAACAAAGGGAAAAATAAGTTAACTACTATTCAAACACCAACCAAACGCAGCTTTCTTACTTTGATGTGCATGTATCTGTACAAGACTGCCTGGCATTGCAGAACTGAGTGAAAATGTATCTAATGCACCACGGATAATTTAGTCATCATGTTATAAACAAGACATTGTTTTATTATTTTGAGTCAGTCTACAATAAGCCACTGCTTTCATCCTATTCATCAACTTTAAGTCAGTGAACAACACCTGCAAAATTTACTGTGCTTCTAGAAAAGCATTTTCAGTTGCAGAAGGAATTAGCCACAATTTATTGACCACATCCTTAGCACTACCATGATGGAGACTTTCAGCACCAGTTCTTGCTGTGAACTTCTACTCATATTATAACTAAATTACATTTTGAAGTGAAGAATCATCAAAAAGAGAAAAATATTTTGCCCCTCTAGCTGTCACCTACCTCTCCTTTTGAAGAGTAACAATGATAACGGCCTCTTACAGCTTCTGCAAGGTTCTTTAGAACTGCCTACATACATAAATAGGAAGAAAAACAGTTACTTTGATTCAGTAGTATCTTTTAATAATGTGGGTTGTTGGTATTTAATTCTGAATTAGTGACAAAGAAAGAAGCTTTGAGGTACATGTAATGAAAAAGCCAAAGTAATTATGTTTCCGCTGTTTTCTTACCAGTCTTATTTTAATATGACTGAAAAATCAACTCAGTAAAGAATTTACAAAACAGACAATAAGGATCAAGCTTATTCACCTTGTGTCACTTTCTCTTCCTTTTAGGGCAGGCTCTTGCTAGTCAGATCAAAGGCATATCGCTGAAGTCTACAAGTACAAATGCTAGGCTAACCTTCCCCTGCCCATAATTACCTCTTAAATACTTTGCTGCTTTTTTCATCTCTCCCAGCTCCTTCTCTCATACTACCTACCACTGCAATCCCCTTACTGCATCCAATCTTCTCACTGAAGAAACTTCTGGTCATTGCAGGAGGGTTGGACTAGATGACCTTTGAAGGTCCCTTCCAACCCAAACTATTCTATGATTCTCTATAAAACCAGGATTTCAGTCATGTCCTCCCTTCTACTGAAGTTACTACATGCCTTAGGGATAAGCTTTAGCAAGCAATCAACACCTAAATCCAAGTTCCTGTGAAGAAGCTAATAAAAAATATCTGCTTATCCTTCTGTCCTCCTCTTCCTTGAGGCAGTCACTGCCAACATCCAAACCACTGCTCATGATCAACACTATAATTTGAGCAGTCTACTAGGTCTGATGCTATTCCATACCAAAATATTCCTATCCAGAGACTGCCATGTTAATATGATCTCACTCCCAAGTCCCTGCCTTTTTCCTATGATCCTTCTCTGTACCCACTTGTCCTTACTGCAGTATTGCCTACCTAAAGTCCCCTCTTTCTGCTTTCACCTGCAAAAGAGCTCTCAGCCCGAGTCTTCCCTGGAAACACACAGGGTATCTGGAGATAACTGCTTCCCTTTAGCTGCTAAGCCTGTCAACACCACCTGGTTGCCACTTCTGGCTTTGATATGAATCATGATAAATACTCCAAAACAGACTTTTTCATGTGTGCAAATACAATGATAGATCAAGAACTCTTTAATGAGTAGGTTGGCTTTCCCACAAAAGTGTATGTGAGAAGACACAGCAGCTGAATAGGAAACAAATGACAGGATACTTAAAGAAGTATTAATACAATTACTTACAAGAGAAGAAGGACTGCTGCAATCATATGTAACAGCATGAAGGTGTAGTTTTCTCCCCAGCATACACTGCTGAGCATAGTCAGACAGAATTTGCAAAGACTGATCAGGGCTGATATAAATAAATAAATAAGAAAAGAATAATAACAATGGCAGTAATCAAATGGGGGAAGAAGACCACACTGAAGAAGACAGGGAAGAAAATGAATGGGAAGTATCTAACAAATCATGGGAATGTAATCCAGTCATTTGGCACAGCTTGACCTCCTCTCCCTCTTTCAACCATTACTGAGGTACCACTACTACAGATTAGCTCTGTCTTGAAAACCCAAAGGGTAACAAAAGCACTAAAGTTCTATTCTACTTCACAATGGCTTGTGGATGAAATGTTCCAAGTTATTCCTTGCTAGCTCTGGAAGCTAAAAATTGGGAACTGAGGTTTTGCCCACTGTGACAATCTCTGATAGAAAAGCTTTCAATTCAGATCTTCAACCTGTAAGATGTCCACTGTCTTCATTAAAGGAAGTAAAACTTTGCTTTGCGTTCAGAACTTAGCCACCCATGGTTCTTCATGCCTAGTAAAATCATTTCCTCCCAGCTACGCTTTTGCCAGGGATAGAAATTAATCAAGTTTTCATGTGCACACACTCTAAACTTTGCCTTCTGCTCAAAGCAGGTCTAAGCAAAACTTGGAACCTTTCAGCTGAACACTGAGCATTCAGTAAATGTAATCTCAATCTCCCTAAATATCAATCTTGTCAAAGGTTACATCATCCCATTTGGCACATTTAAAATAAATACAAATAATAAATTGGGAGTACAGTAACACTCCCCAAATCCTTACTGCAGTCTTTTGCTTATAATCCTGACTCCAGTACTAAAAATTTTTACATGACAGTAGAACTTTAGAATTTAAGTCCATACTTTATCTAATCTCAGCCTCTTTTCATATATTTAAATCAGGTATTTTAAGTTTTCCATCAGCACCACTGAGATCAGAGAGAATGTCTTCTCACAAACACATTCAAAACTACCTTTGAATGTTTAATGCCATTTTATAGCAAAATCAACCTTGTCATCTGATCTAACCCAGCAGTGTGGGCCCTTTCAGTGACATCCTTAATGGTGCTGAAGGACTTTTATTAGTGTAAAATTAGAGCTAGCAGACTTCTAGTGGATTAGTGTGATAATCGATCTGCAAAGGAAAAATCTAGCTTTGTATCAAAAAAGAGATTTATAATCAGTAAAAATTGGAAAAAATAAAGAAGTTCAGGGATATGAACTAAACTTTATCCATAAAACCTGGATCTTAAATTTTCTATTTATTTTTGTATCGGGTTCAGATTCTTGAACCAATTCTGTATCCAAGTTAAAATTAGTTGTTAGGACAGATAAAAAATTTACCAGCTTCCTAAAATAAGAACCAGAGAATTGAGTTCTTTCATCGTAAAGACATGTTTTAAGCCTTTCAGTAAATTGCAGCCTCGACCAGGCTCCAGCTGTTTTATCCACTGTCTTGCTTCATGTAGCCTGGGGGAGGAAAACAGAAAAAAGACCATATGCACTTAACATGCAGGTGCTAAATAAGATAAGATTATGAAGATTACTACAAACCACAGGAGCTGCCAAGATATTTTATGCAGGAACAACCACCTTGAAATCACTGACTGCATTTAAAATTCATTGCTTTTTTTTTCTTAAAAATCACTGCAGGAACAAGATGAAAACCACTATTATCTACAAGGGACTGCTCTAATTAAACAGAGACCCTGTTTGGAAAACCTTTATTTTATAGAGAAATGTACTTACACATGAACATTGATGTTTTTTGGACTCTCCCACAGAGCTGACATTTCTGCACTGAATGAGAGGCAGTACAGTTGCTTCTTATAACATAGCTGCTCATCTATTAAGCACTAATAAATTAAGAAATATTATTGCATTACTATCCATGTTGTTTCTAGTAGGATTATTACGTAAACCACTGAAAACAGTAATTTCCTAAAAATAGCTGACAGCAATATTTTCACATACCACAGAAAAAAGCTTCTGGGAACAAGTAACACAGATTCAAATATTTGGTAAGGTATAGACAGACAAAACCCTCAAGCCTCTGGTAATCCCACCAATTTGTTAATGGGGCAAGAGGCAGGGAATATTTATTGAATTGGTATCAGGATTTCTCTTCAGCTGATGAGCACATGAAACAACATACTGATCTAGAATGGGCCTACTCACCCACAGAGCAATTACTAAAAAACATTTAACACCTATTCAAGGGTAGAGCTAAACAACAGTTCAGATATTAAGGCTGAACAAACCAAACTATGAGAATTTTATAAAAATAAAATGCACAATAAAGTCCAAGTTTCTCCTAGGACTTGAGAAAGTGATTAATTCACCAAGGTTCTGACTGTAATTGCGGAGTGTACCTTGTTGGAACAAACATAAGGAAAACATATTTACTATAAACAGCTCTATGTACAACTTGGTTCCAGCTCTTAGAGCTGTTTCTGCTAAGCAAGTTTACTACCAAATATTAATAAGGAAAGTATTATTATTACAGTCTATACTGGAGTTTGAATCTAGACATGAACTAAGACTACACTTTCAAAGACATTTAAAACATACTGTCCTACAACAGACAAATTTTATGTATTGTATATTATGAATTTAAGCAGGTTTTTCTTCTACGTAGTTCCTGGCTTGTAGTTACATAAAAGCTTGATTAGTATAATTGCCAAAGTCTGCTTTATTACAACTTACTAAAAGATCTTTCTGAAAATCCAGCAGTCTAGGTCTACAGCTTACATGAGACACATCAACCAAAAGTCCAACTTTGGTTCCTTTTATAAGGCCAAACACCTTAAAAGAGAAAAGTTATTATAAATACAAAGCTTATCTACAGCTAAATAATTTTACTGTTTATTAATTTTACTGCTTATTTTGTACAACACCATTTTAAAATCAAATATTAGGTATTTATTTGCACATTAAGAGTTTTAGCATAAAGATGACACAGTTGACAAATCCAAGGAAAAAGAATTAAAACCTTACCAGTGAATCGTATTTAATCCTTCCCAAGCAACCTATTCAATATTTGAAAGGATAAAAAATAACTTCGTCTACAGCATCTCCTTCAGGTTAAAGCAAGGAGCTTTGTGGAAACCAAATTTTGGAGTGCTGCTTCTATCCCTCTCCCCTTTGAGAAGCAGTCATATCCTTTTCTGATTCCTGATCATTAGCCCTGCTAGGCACAGTAAGTGATTGATTAACCAGCTGTGCAAGAGAGGGCACAATGGACTACAAGACAGCTCCACTTCCCTCAGAGGTTAAGCTCAGCATTGTCTGCTCCAGCTTAAATGTCAGCAAGAGGTTTTAATGATTAAGACTGCTAAGAGAAAGAAAAAGGCTAGATCTAGAAAGCAGAAAATCGCATACCAGTAAAAGATCAAGAAAACAATCCATGGACAAGATAAGTATCACTGCATATTACGTCTAACAGTAGATAACAAAAATATACAAGATATGGAAGACACGTTTCACTAATACTAAAAAAATATTTTATTCTTTAATGCCATATACAGTTCCATTCTAAAAACATACTTCAAATTTAAAAGTTACCTTTCTGCTGTCCTGCAACAGCCACTGAATTCGCTGCTGGTAAAGTTCAATCGCTCTGACAAAAGGCATAGCACACATTTAACTAAGGAAATCTCTTGCATTGTACATCAATGTTACAATCAACCATTTGTCTTCATCACATCCTTCTTCTCACAGATGCAAAATCTGTGAGAAGTAGTATTTAAAACTACTCTTTCCAGTGTTCTCATACAGCTGGTGGTTGCAGGGTTAACCATTTAAATACTTCTCTCCTAAAGCTATTTGATTAGATAGGTGGCTGTCTGAAAAAACAGAACACTAGAACGTTTTCTAATCAGGTGCTGGCTTATTCTGTTCAGACGCAGGAGAAGGGTATTCAGCATGTGTATGCGTGAACAACAGAAGTTCAGGCAAAACTGAGTTTAGTTCAGCACACACAGGTTATTGTCAGGAGATGTATTTAATACAAACTACACTATTGCTTAAGAAACTCATGAAATAGAACCTTGTGGTTGAAAGGCAGCACACTCACTGAAGTGCCAGACTAACTGCAGCTTAACTTTCAACAATTTCCATTTCAAAACAGGTAAAACTTGAGGTAAAATGAAATGCTTGCTGCCGTCTAAAATTGTTTTACTTCAATCAACTTATATGCATCGTTTTTGTAATTTAAACAGTTTAAATCAACATTTTAAAGGGAAAAACTGTTTTGCTTTTCCAAAACACAAAAGCTACTTCTTTTTTAAACTAGATCTGCAGACAGTTTGCTTAAATGGCTCATGGCCCAAGTACTGAGGTTGGACCTTTGGAAGATTCTGTACCTTCATGACTTGGCACAGTAACATATGCTGAAGTAGTGGCACTCCTAAGAACAGTCTTACAAGTATTGTGAAGACCAGCAAAAACATTGTGATTATTCTACAGCTTATTCAATCTATTAATTACACATTTTTCTCAATTTAAGTTTCCTTGATTTTATATATTTGAAATTCACTTAGAAAACTTTTAACTTCCAATTGTCCTCACTAGATCCATGACTTGAAACTAACCCAAGTTACAGTAAACATAATCCACAAATATGCAGTCTTACCTCTGAAAACCCAACCATTCATTAGCTGACTTTCTAAAATGAGCTAACTGCTTCAGTTCAAAACCTGCCTGATTGGCACCTTCATTAAAAAAGTAAAACCTCAGCTGTAGTGACAAAGAATTATCACCCACCCTAAATCTCAGCAGAAAGGATTAATGCTGAGATACTCTAAAGTTCCCACCAATAACAAATTAAGATTTAAGGCACTACCTGTAGTTACGGGTGATGGGTGATGATAACAGCATCAGTTATGCATCAAAATCATAAACAGGATGGATACTTACTCAGAAAGTCTGGACTCAAAATCTTTAACAGTCTCTTCTGGAAACTCTATCTCTTCAACACCATTTCTTAAATTCCTGGAACATTATGCATCATTAACATCAGAGGTGCACACAAAAATGACAGAGCAAAGAAAGGGCACTGTTGTACTTACAAAATAATATTGCCTTCATCTACCAGATGTTCTAATGTTAATTGCAAGGATTCTAAACTGTAGTTTCTTAGCCATTCTTCAGAGGTTTGCACCTTTTCAAACTGTACTTCCTTCATTTGTACTCTCTGCAGATCAAGTAACAAAAAATTAAATGCAATACAAGAAAAGAAATGTGCTGTTCCAATGTGACAAAATGTACATCCTAAGGAAAGTTGCTGGTAGGCAGTGCATGTCGAAGAACACCACAATCTTACGCACTGGCATACTCTTGGATGTGGGATGCAAAGGAAAAGCAGCTTTCAGCACATCCCCAGTTTGTAAACTGAAGGAGAACTTAAGTCTGGAGAAGACAGGAAGGAAGAAATTGGAGAGTTTAGCAGAAGAATTGAAATACATACCCCAGTGATTTACCAGTGGAAAAAAAATATCAAGTATCTCTAAAACTTGCTTCACAGAGTTCAAAGGGGTATATATTGTCTTCTCCTCTTCTGAAGAAAAAGGCAGTACGAACAACTGAACTACCTTTATTGTTTTGCCTGATTTTTCACAGACTGATTCATCGCTGCATGTAGTTTCATAACCTCAGTGATTATATCTGTCATTATATTATATGCAAATACATGTAAGGAAACATATTAGTTGCCTATCAATGCATTTATTCCCCACTCTCTATGAATAGTGGCCATGCGTTAGTTTTCTAGTTGTTCCATTTAGCAACAAAACTCTCCTACCAGCATATCATGAATCTTGCTGCTGTGTGTGACCAGCAATCCATTATCTGATCCTGGATGCGACATAGTAAAGTCATGCCATGGTGGATGAACACCCTGCAGACTGGATTTCTTGGTCAACCTACAAAACAATGAATTTTACTCTATTGCTTCATTACTCCTAATATTCCTGTATTGCCATAAAATCTTTGCAAGGTTTTTTCTGCAGGAAATGCTTTATGCTTTGACATTTGTTTACACGTTCCATTTGATATATGATAAATATTTTGCAAGGACATAGTACATAATTTATACAAACTGGTTATTTACTCTGTATTTATGTATGAAGTCCCAACACGTTTTTGTACCAGTATTCTCACCCAGCTTTTTCCAAACCCTGATCGCTGTCCAACAACTGTGCCGTTTTCTTGATGCGTGTATCCATTATTCAAATAGACTTAGAATTGTTAAAAAAAAAGGAAAAATTCAAAGTATTAAAAAGTTTAACTCCTCAGGAGTATATACTACTTAAAAAGGTATTAATATCGCCAGCAACTTACGTGGTAATTAAATCGCACGTGGGACAACAGCAAATTAAAACACAGCTGCAAAGAGGAATTACAATTACCTATCTACAGAGAACACATTTAGGAACTACCTTGAAAGAGCTATTTGCTAAGGGATTTTACACAGTTAATTATGTGTATGCACAGTAAGCAAGGATTCTAACTACACGGCTCAACCTGAAGGAAAAGATTAACCAAGACAAACCCCACAGCTCTGCGGTGTGTGAGGGGCAAGCAGCCGGAGACAGCCGGACTGTGGCACACCCCCGGTCTGTGGGATGCGCGGATGGAGGCCGTGGGTGAGCTGCCCTTCCTGTTGTGGTGCACTAAGACCGAGCAAAAACTAGGATAAAATCCTGCTTTTCACTTCGCTAGGCTCCGCGCCTCACCCCGCCTGTGCCCTCCCGGTCACAGTGCGTCAGGGCAGCCAGCCCTCTGCCTTCCAGACTGTCCCCACCTCACGGGGGAAGCGCCCCTCAGCTACACCGGCGCCCTATCCCCAGAGACTCTCTTCACCTCACGGGGGAAAAAAAAGCTCCCCCATTCCCCACACACCCTCCCTCCACCTCCGCTTCACTTGGTCAGGCCCCGAAAGCACGGGCGGCCACTGAGCCAGTGACAGAGATTCCCCCCAAACCCCTCAGCCTCGTCTTGCCAAGGCACCTCCCGGCACTCGCCCGACCCTTGTCCCGCAAGCGGGCCGTCCGCCGTCCGCGTTCGGCGTGTTACGGCGTTGCCGGTGGAGACAGACAGGCCCTAAGCGGGCGGAGCCGACACCGCCTCCCACAGCCCCGGGGCGGTGGTAGGCGGGAGCCGGGGTTGAGGAAACCGGGGGGGGGGGGGGGGGCCCGCGAAGCCGGTTCCAATCAGCGCAGCCGAGGCCAGTCGCTTTAGTAGACAATTTATTTTGATAAACTTGCTCAATAACAAAAATACAAGTGAAGAAAATTATGTTCATTTTATACAGTTTGTATTAACATTTGTTCGGAAATCATTAATTGAAAAATGCTCTAACCAATTAGAAAACAATCCTCACTAAAGGCCGGGGCGGGGGACGCAGACGGTCAGGCCTCGGGCGGGGAGCGACGTGACGCCCAGGCAGGACAACCCGCTTGCAGACACCGTTTCCTTCATTATTTCCATCCTTCACAAAGGTTTTAAAGGACAGCTTTCATTTCTTGTGTGTTGGGGCAGTCATCTACGGTTGTGTTCTGAAGTGGTTAAACAACAGCTCTGAAACACAGGGCTGACAGGGGAGCCCTAGTCTGGCGGCTTTACCTCAGCCAGAGGATGGGGCTCAGTGGTGTTGCACGCTACTAGCGTCTTTTGAAAACTGCTATCACTCACCAACAAGATTCACAACATAAAATGGTGTCAAATGGTTAGAGTGGTGCCTTCAGGTAAGCACACCCTCCCCACATCTGAGACAAACAGCTTCCAAGCGATGATTTCAGCTGAGCTCAATGGTAAGATCTATACAGACAAATCAAATAGTTTTCCTTCTGAAGGTATTTTGAGTTTCCAATCTTACATGTTGTTAGCTACACGCATCACAATGTGTGCATAAATTACATTACATTGGGACATTAAACCTTTGGGGGAACTTTGAAGCAAAAGATTAAATAAGACTCTCTAGTGACATATGAAATGAGCTGTCCTTTAAAAGTGAAAAATAATGGCATAATCAGAAAAGCTTATGTAAACACCCAACACAAATATGGGATTACCTCTGGAGAAGACCCACATGGAAACATTTGCTTTTCATGAACTGAAAAAGTCTACAGAAGTTTAGGCATGTTCAATACAAACTTCCTGTAGTTTAAAACAAAACCTTGTGCAAATAAAACCTATAGTCCTCAGCAGATTGTACAGTGATGCTCTTAGGTATGAAAAAATGCACACAGCTTTAAAACAAAAGTAACAGACATAAGTTTGACAAATGATTGCACCATAAAACAGTGTTTTATATACAGTTTACAAGATATGACCTTTTTCTGCTATAAATTAATACTGTACTATATAGTACTTAGTGACCTCATTAAAAGCAACTGTTGACAGCTGTCTCTTCAAATAATGGTTGTGGAGGTGTTTGGGGTTTTTTTAATGCAGGTGGCTGCATCTGTTTCTGGATTTAAGATGCTCCTGGTGAAATATTTATCTCACCGATTAACTTGTTAAATCTCTGCTATCATTTAATAATTCATAACAGTAGCATTGGCAGACCAGATATATTTCCAGTCACCCAGCCACAGTCTGGGTATTCTCCAAGATAAGAGTTTAAATTTTTTAATCAAACATCGATCCACTTAATCTAAGCCTAAATCCACTGTATACATGACGTTACTATAACTGGACTATAAAGCTGGGGAGGGGGGAGAATCTTAGCAGCTGAGAAACTCTCCTCTCCCCGTGTTCCAGTTACAAAAATCTCCTAAAACTATTTACAAGAATGACATTTCTGACAGAGGTGTTTTGGTTTTTTTTCCCCAAAATCATAATTTCTAAGTTTTAGTGAATACTTCAGCTTAGAATACAGCAGTGGTAACACCAGAAATTTAGACACACATGCAGCAGCTGAACCCTGTGTTCTGTCTCCATCAACATCACTGGGGACTTCAGGCAGCTCGTGCAGATGAAGGCTTAAATTAGAAACCAAATCATATTTAAACCATTACTTTCAAGTTGGTGCCTGGCTATATTTACAGATTAATACACTTCAGAAAAATGTAGTGATCTGTAAACACCCCCTTCCACCTGTGAGTGAGCTGACTGGAAAGAAGTTGCTTATAGACCATTCCAGCGATGAGTTTGTTAAAAAATATCAAAAGAAAAAAATACTTAATCCAGCAAATAACCTTTGGGATGGAGAGAGGAGAAAGATGGAGGAGGAGGCCAGGGACCCACTAGGGTTTGAATGGCACACAGTTTAAAAGAATTGTGCAAATTCTCTTATTGTCAAACACTTAAGCTTATCAGATAAGTGATTACTTTGGAATATTTTACAATTTCACTAATGTGTTAGGAAAATGTCTATTCAGTAACACAGTTCTAATAAGCTCAGTGAAACAGCACTTGAAATACAGAATTTTATTGTTTTCATAATGAATCTTAGGTAAACCATGTATTAACTGGAAAATACTGATAATACTAATAGGGCAGCTTTCCTAGGACACTAAATTGTACTTCCTGCAAGGTTAGATGGAGTAATGAATTAAGACATCTATGGATTCCAAGGTTTATCTTTGTGCTGAAAAATAAAACTACCTTTAGTGATGAATATTTACTCCAAATTTGGGTGGCCCTTTAATCCACATTTAAAATCATTTCAGTAAACAAGGCATATATTATTTAAACAATTATATTGCTCATTTTAATACTTAAGTGACAGTAAGTTCATTCATCTTTCAGTGGAATAGTGTTTGCATTACTTTGAGCATTGAATTTTACATGTGCTAGAGAAATGCTTACCTGTGGTAAAATGCTGTGCTTGAACATGTATGAATGCTAATATGACAATGCAGTACAAAAAGAGACTCTGTACAACAGTTGCTAATAATTTAAATAGTGTCAGTTTCCCAAAATTAGGATTTTAACTTTAAGGTATGACATGATTTCACCTTCTACCCTCATATACAAATAAATTACCATAAAAAGAATTTTAGCTTAACTTAAAATTGCACCTAAAAAGGCATGGGATCATTTGTACCTATTACAAAAAACTGTTAAAATCAAGGGCTGCTACAAAGAATGAGGTAAACTGAAGACTCTCAGCTATGCGGCCTTCAGAGAAATGGCTTTTTTCTATTGAGTCCTAGTTTTGCACACCACAGTGTTTTGCTAGCAAAGCGTTCCGAGTTCTTTTCCAGGAACCATTTGTGTGTATATACATATATTACATATATGTGTATATACACACACACATGTACACACACACACTGTATACTGCATCAGCAAAATATATATATATATATATTTATATAAATATAAGGAAGAAATCCCCCTGTAAAAAGTTCCTTAGTGTTTTTCTAGAGCTTATGGGGGAGCAGGGGATGTATGTCTTCTTGCTCTTACATACATTTAGAGAACATGTTCTGATCTATTGGCTTCTTGGTGCAGTAATGCAAGATTGATCCACATTGGTGCCAAAGGCTTTGCTCATTAGAAGGAAGATGTAAAATACTAATCTCCTAAACAGCGAGGCCAGCCTCACTTGAATTCCTCTGCAACCCTCTGGTCTACCACAAAGTTCGTATTTCGACTTCCAAATCGTGAGACGTTAAAAACAGGAACAGTACAGTAACACGGGGCATTATGCTTCTCAGTGTAAAGCATTCTTCACTAGTTCTATCACAGTGCAGACCTGACTGCATTAAAATATGCTCAGGAGATTAGTCAGCGTTGTCTGTATTTGGTTATGGGAAAGGCTCTCCTTTTTTTTCATCCAAAGTGCATAGTGAGAACAAGTCAAAGCATTCCTCTTTTCAGTACATGTTTGACAGTCTGATCCAGGCATCCTCCTGAGAATGCAATTCTGATGTCTTGGTCTTTTGCAAAATAAAGTCCCGCAGTTCAGACATTCATCAGCCAGGTAAACAAACTTTGCCAGCAAATAAAAGTCCAACTATTGTAAAGAAAATGGATAAGACAAACAGTACATATGAAGACCCAACCACTGTGTTGTTGGGTAATTTATATGGTTGACCTCCAACTTCACTGATGTAAAATCCTATTGGAAATATTAGGGCTGCCATACAGAATAGAATCACTGCAAACAAAAAAGAAGAGAAAAAAAAAATGGTCACTGCTGTGTTAAGGTAAAATTATTTATTTGTTCATAGAGCAGTCCAGAAAAGCAAGCAAAATATTCTGACCAAACTGAAGAGCTGATTCTAGTATTTAATTTGCTTGAAATGACTCAGGAGGCTTTATCTTGCTTTTAAAACACAGAATCATAGCATAGTTTGGGTTGGAAGGGACTCCTAGAGGTCATTTAGTCCAACCCCCCTGCAATGAGCAGGGACATCTTCATCTAGATCAGGTTGCCCATGACTTTTTCATGCTGATTTTTTCAGTCTTCCCTCAGGTAACACATACTGCTGCTTTTTGTTTGTTAGTAAGGGACCTATGTGCTGTCTTTTTCTTTCCCTTCTTGTCTCCACTACTAAGACACAGAACAAAGTGTGGATGCTGTTCCCTGCTTCAGCTTCCCCACAAGTCAAACAGGCAACAGCAAAATCCACTGCCAACCTTAATCACTGGTTCTTGTGCAAGTCAGCAGTGTTGCAGCTGCTTTTATTTCCAAGGTACATAAAACAGATTCAGGAGCTCATCTATCCCCTTTTGCCTTACCAGGGCAAAGTTTCTAGTCTTTCCAAACCAGGAAATGATGGGCTGGAGCACCCCCAATATTTTTAATGTAACTTCACCAATGCTTTTCCTGACTAAACACACATGCTCCAGTTTATCCAGCTACGGCATTACCTGCCCATAATAAAAACTTTAAAGGACTCCATGTTTATCCAAGATGAATAGTTTATCCCATATATCTCAATGCTCAAAGCTTATGATTTGCATAGCACAGGCCTCAGTTTTAAGGACAAAAGCACTCATGTTCCATAGAAGAGACTAGTTTTGGGCATGATCGATCTGAACTCAAAACGTGTCCAAGCAGAACTTGGGCATAAACAAAAAAAGATGGTTTCATGAATCACGGTCTACAACCGGAGCATCAGCTGCTCCTTGCTTTCAGGAAAGGAAAAAACCCAAATGTTCCACGAGAGGGAGCTCCGGTCCCACTTTTAATGTAGTAACACCTCAGAATATTTGTTAAAAGGGGAAGAAATAGAGCACAAACAAAAACCATCTGGCAGCTGCATAGTTACTACACTCTTGCTCAGTGCTACCTCGCTAGGCTATCTATTAAAACAAAACCAAACAACTGGCAACCAGACGTTAAACATTAAATAATCTACATGATTATTGGCCCATGAAATTCCACACTCCACAATCTAATCCTTAAAGAATGTCTCCCTTCTTTCAAATGTATCTTAACCAACAGCTGGTCTATCTGAGGAGAGGAAGCTTGGGTATGTGCTTCTTGAGCACACCTGTGTAAGCATAGAAGAGCTCCATGCTTGAGTAGTCCAGAAAACAGAGGTTGATGTGTAATAGTAACACACACGTATAATAAGTAACAATCTGAACAATATTCCCAGGGTAAGTCACATTATAACTCAGCACGCTTCCTGTTACATCCAGTTAGTCCCTGATAAGCATTCCAGTTATTTACAAAACTTCTGCAACATTTTAACACAGGAAATAGCTTCAGGATTCAGAAAACAACCTGCACTTCCAAGATTAAATCTCTGTTATTATATTCAAAAACCACACAGCTGGAAAAGTTCTGATGGACTCATGGATATGGCTGAAGAACAGATCTTTAATCCTCTCTACTAAACCGCTGTTCTTTGAGGTGTGTTGGACATAACACACCAGGTCTGCAATCTGCTAGTGGCACTGTGGAGTGTGTGCCTGGTGTCTCCTTGTGTTCTGCTCGGGGGCAGAAGCGTGCAGGCACCTCAACTCTCCATCAGTTCATAGCAGGACCAAAAAATAACTTCTGTGTGTGCAGAATGCTGATGTGCACCCACATTTCACACATTCACTACACAAGTAACCAGCCATCTTTTCCACTCTGCATCCTCACAGCGCACATGTTCTGCTATGGGGGTGTCCAAGCAATTTTCTTAGTGTGGTCTGAATTTTTTAGTCTACTGAAATAGCAAATAAAAAATGGATTCATCAAAGTCTCTCTCGGATTAGGAAGCCTGGCAAAGGAATTAGGGCAAAGGTTTGGCAAGTCATTAAGAAAAGACTGCATGATAAATTCATTTTAATAAGCAGCAGCTAAGGAGAAAATCCAATATAAAAAAGGAAAGAAAATAAGGAGAAAATCCAATATATGAAGTGGTCAATTAATTAGTGTATTTTCTATGAAGGAGATTTGTAAGCTAGAGGATAGGAATTTCTTACACAAGCTATAGCCCAAATACAACTCTCCATATCTGGCAGTACCAACTCAGTGAATTTCCAGAAACATTCCCAGCAACCCATACAGAACCTCTTCCTCAAGAGTAGTTGCTTTTGATTTAAAATTCTTCCTTGGGTAGGAAAATTTGCAGAAAAGGCATTTAATGACTACGATTTCTACTAACAAAAATATTTAGGTAACAAAACACAATAATTTCTAGACTGCTTCTGGATGGTGGCTGTCACAAAAAGATCTAGTTCCTGTAATTCTTTAGCTTGAAATTGTTTTGAGCATCCAATGATAACTTCAAAAATCCAGGATACATCATATTAAAAGAAGGAAAAAGCTATGGTCTAGTCTTTAGAGGCCTCATTGTAATACCTGCTTGTCTCTTTAGAGATGGGTAACATAGAAAGCAGCACCTGGCACAAATCTGTAGTAACTCAAGCAGCACTTTATCACTGGGGAACACCAGGGATAGACGTTTACAGGATAGCTGTGGTTAATTAAAAATGTGATTTCTCTGCCCCATTTTTACTTGCATTCCAAAACCCAAGGCCATCATACTCATCAACATTGAAATCCCCTGGCAAAAGAATACTAGACTATCTGGTAAATGCTTGAAAAAAAGCAGAAATATTTTTCTGTCCAGCATCCCCTCCCCTGACACATCTCAGAGAAGCATCTCATTCAGTGGTAGCAGACACAGAATTAATTCCTTTTCTAGTTGTAGCAGATGGTAAGAGACCAAAATCTGTGTAAGATGTAAACGGATCTTGTGGGAGCTCTGTGAATTCCTGCAACAGCCAAGGAATGAACACGAAGAAGGAATCTAATCTCCATTACACTGTATGAATTTGGTACTAAACAGGACCCAGACACCAGTGCTAGTTTTGACGAAACTATGCCCAAAGTGACAATACCTATCACACCAGAAAGAATACTGTGATTCTTGAAAAACTCTACAGAAATTGAAGGTAAAATTTCACATTTGCCTTTAGAAGGCTTCTGTCACTCACACAATATTACCTGGAAGAAGGAAACATCTCTCCTTTCTACAAAGCTGTTTCACAGAGAAACCAGAAAGACAAGTTTCTGTGCAGTAAAATCACCCGGCTGGGGAAGGATGCAAACACTGTGCTAGTAAATACTCTCTCAGATGCCTCCCTTTAGAAGTGTATACTGGAAAGAGAACTGACAGATCAAACCTCTGTCCTTCATGTGTCCCATAGCTAACCAAGACAGACAATACTGCTTCAGCAGTAATTCATATTTGTAAATACATGGTTGAAAAAATCTGAAGTCACTCAAGGTGACAAGATTACAAGCAGAAATTCCATGAAAAATATGAACTACCCATTGCCATGTAAATTCCAGCATGAACTGGGAAAGAGTGACTTCTTATCAGGCTCTCCTTGCTGCTATCAGAGTTGCAAGGGAAGGACTGAGCAAGAGGATTCCTTTGCCTTTAGATGATTTACTCTAGACCCCTTGCATTCAAAGGGAATGGAACTGCCAGTCCCAGAGCTGCCTTTGGCAGTCCCAGCAGACTTCCCTGCCTGCCTAGGATAGCACATCCTATGTTGTGTTCAGAAAGTTCTGTGGGAAGAATATCTGCTAGCAGCCTGTGCTAAGCTGATGAGTCTTGAAACTGCTTGCAGAAGGGATGTAATACAACTATGTTTTCCCTACCCCCCTTCTACATGTTTTCATCTTCCAGCGCTGGCACTTCACAGGAGGGACCTGTTCATGGTATTCCAGATTGACTCCACGCGGTTTCCTAATACTGATCTACATGTAGGTTACTAATTTTTGTGGCCATCTAATGAAACACAGAAGTCACATCAACTTTTTTGAAAAATGAAAAACACAGAACTTTTCCTCCCTTTCATTTTGGGTTTTTTAAGTGTCTTCTCTTGCAAGTTAAGCAATAGTATTTCCCATCATCATTAACTGGAATACAAAGGTCACGGCTGTATGTGTTGAAGCTGACTACTCAAGATGTTGAATTTTAGAATTTCAGCGACGCAGAGATTGTATCTTAATAGAATTATGAATAACTGACTTGCAAGAGAAAAGATCGGTATGTTTCACTATTAAACATCTTATAACAAAAAGGCAAGTGCTGAAATAAAAGTGTCCTTCTATATTTAGTCTTCCAATAATGGATCTGTGGCAAGCCTAAAGAGATCTACAGAAAAAGAACCCAGCTTTAGAGTACCAGGCTTTTTGGCTGAACTAACCATCACAGTTGTAGAAAACTGAAATGCAGGGATGTTACAATTGGAGATATTTTAAAAAATTGCAATATGTAAAGCCCAAAATACAAGCTCTGAATTAAGGAAAAAAACCCTTCGTAAATATATTGTGATATTAACTGTTGATGTACAGTAGTCCAAAAATTCATTTTACTCTAGAGCTTTGACTTCAGCTTACTGTAAACATCCTAATTTTATATGACATTTTGAGTTTAAACCCTCCCTGCATACATTAGACATACATGAAATATGTACGTACAAACAAGGGTACTGGAAAACTTGGGATGGAATATTCAGTAATACTCTTGTCTGCCATTTTAATCTTTCACCAGAAAATAAACTGAAGTCAATCACAACGGATACAGCATTTCAATAGCTCCATTGTCTGCAAGAGCTGCACTGGTACTTTAATATGCTGTGTAGCAAAGTTGTCAGAAGGATGGATTTGATTGTACAAGTGCCTCAGTGAAGTACCTTTTTTGAAGCTAAGTGCTTCTTTATATTATCCCCTTCCCCAAAACAAGCTTAAATCTCATTCATAGTAGATATCATTAGATGTCACAGATGCCACAGAGTTATTTATGCCTGTGGAAACCACAAACTTGCATTTTCTAGTTAGCATTCACACTACCTTTAGTGGTATGTCATAATTCAAGGCAATTTTAAAGCCCTCAGGTTTTGAGTTTTTTCATGCAGTCATCCCCACCATTAAGGCACCATTTCACAGTTGGGCTAAGCCTGTAACACACACCAAGAAAAGGAAGTTTGAAAGTTATTCCCCTTCCTCACTGTATTTTTCTTTTGCACTGAAGTAGCCATAGGATGTGTTTCCCTGTGCAGAAACATAGGGCTGCTAGAGAAGGCTCAGCTATGAGGAGTTGTGCTAGTGCTCATACAGAGCAGGATCAAGGGAGGCAATAAAACACTGATACTCCTTCCAGTTAGAGCACTGCTGCAGGTCACTTAGGGAAGCAAAAGTCTCAGTGCTGTGAAGCACAGCAGATGCTCTGCAGTGGGCAGTCCTCTTGCATAGCCAATTAGGATACAGATACTCTGAATAAAACACCTACTGTGAGCATGAACAACTGAACCAGCATCAACCCTGAACAAGGTATTCATGAGACACCTGAAAGAGGGATGGATTTTACTTACTGCAGTAAGTCATATCTATCAAACTGCTGCCTCTTACTTGGGGAGGGAATCTTTATAGTCATTCCACTCTGCTAGGAATAAGCCCTAGATATATGGGAGTGGGGAAGAATGAAAGACTATCATACGCACAGTTCGTGACTGACCTCTTCTATCCCTGCTCATTTTCTTAGGTCAGTTAATACACTGCCCAAGGAAGGCAAAAGGATCAGGCCTTTCTTTATCTCACTTTGGGCCCACATTCTATTACTCCCTCTCAATCACAGTCACTTAAGATACAAACCCCTTGATTTTTGAAGAATATTATTTTTTCCTCAGATGTGGCATTTAAAGAGAAGGAATGGTTTGTATAGTAAGAGCCCTAAGCAGTGCTCCTAAACAACACTATACTGTTACTGCAGACTCCATCAGTTTATCCTGTATACAGGTCAACTGTGAGGTTGAGGTCACTTACTTCCAGTGAAAGCTATCCAGCGGGCATATTTAGTAGCTTCTCTTCGCCAGTGGGAAGCCACCAGCAAACCACATGTGACAGTAAGTGAAATGATTCCCATAATGATGAAAAATAACGTAGTGACCCACTCAGGAGGCAGCCGTGGAGGAATACAGGTCCTGTCACGTCCATGGATGGTTTGACACTGTCGCACAAGGCCAACTGTGAGAGCACCTGAAAATACATAGCAGAGAGGCAAGTAAACTTTCAAAATCCTCTCTGAGGGGCGCTCAATTGCAAACCAAAGTTCAGAATTCTCCAAAAATGAGGGATTTTTTCTCCGATGAACCTCAGTAAGCCTTTCAAACTCTGAGGACGGGGGAGACGGCATGCTTTAAACATCTATTTTCATGTTCTTTCATCACAGGCTTGCACAAGTTGAAGCGAGATGGCTGCAAGCTGTATCTGATTCTTGAGTGGCAATCAAGGTCTAATCAAAGGGATAAAGCACTCCTATAAAGCCTGCCAATAATAGCTAAAGTGGCAACAGAGTTGTATGGAGGACCACTCCCTCATCTGTGCAAGATGAAATACTTTTATCATCTAACAAAATGAGCTGCAGCCCTTAAAATGCCTTTAACTGTCAAATGCCTTTTCTCGTTATCTGTAAATACAGCTTTACTCCTCAAAGTCTTGCAGCAGAAATTGCGCTTGATTCATGCCAAAATTTTAAGAACATTAAAAAAAACCCCCAAGCCCCATTCTTTACAGTGACTCTTTAAGAATCCCTCTACACAGGAGGCTGGCCAATCCTTTTGACAGCTAACGCGTTACTACGCACAAACTGGGATTTCTACACAAGAGATCTATCAAAAAGATCCTAGGAAAAGGATGAGGCTGGTACAGGAACCTAGAGTTTTACATAAAATAAGGTATTTTCTATTAAATATAAAAATCTGATTTAAAATCCAATTCAGCGCTTTTTAGACTCATAAAGAAGCTTTTAATAAGCTTTAATAATGATACTATCTTTATGTGGAAAATTTTAACCCAAGATTAACATACAAGATTAAAATCCATCTCTTTCAGTATCTTGTAAGCATTATGTCATGTATTTCTTATTTTTCCCTTGTTCTGAACAGCTTTCCTAAGTAATCACAACTGTCCTTTATCTAAATTAGGAGCAAAAAACCAACAGTGGATAATACTAGAATCAACATATTCCTCCACAAATTATTATAAGTTAATGTTATTGTAGTTGACCTGTTTAAAACCCAAAGAAGGAAACTCAGAGAAACAATTACAGTAAGACTTGGAAGCTCAGGTATAGCATGTCTTTTGGAGGGAGAAACAATTATCATACTACTTTAACTTTTTTTTGAGGGGGAGAGCATGAAACAAAGAAGTAAGCTAAGAGTCAAAAGGGTAACCAGTCCTTGCACGCATCTCCTAGCACTCTGGAGCCAACTTCTGCAAGTGTTCAGATGCTGTCTGCTTACACCTCAGCGATTAGTAACAGCAGAACCAGTTTCTGAGCTTAGAGTCATTGGGTTAGGAGGCAGAATATTACGTTTTATTAGATGTAGCTCTTCTAATACACTCATAGAGGATGAGAAGAACCAAGAACAAAACCATTACTGAATCAGTTCTGTTGAAGCATTCCTGTAACCTGTTTAGACTACAAATTTTTAGCCCTAATCATATACATCCTTTTAACTACGTGTTTACCAACTGAAAGATTCTGAGATTACTTTTCAGATAAAAGTTGAAGTAAAATCCTTTTAAAAATTGTCAGTTACAAACCCAACAAAATTGGCATTTTCTACTCCAAATATATAGCAATCACACCATTGCTGAGCACCAGGATTACACAAAATTGAGCCAGAATTACACAAGCAATCCTACACAGCTCACATGCCTGTGCAGTACACAGTTTTACATGAACTGCTTCTCAGTTGCTTTTTTACAGCCTGCCATGTTTTCATTTTACATCAGCTTCTGGGGCAGAGGGAAGATGTGCATGTGTCCTTAAAAGTCAAGCTCCTTGAAACACAAGCATTTTGCAGATCCTCATACAAAACACTAAGTAGTTTCCTGTAGTTTAGGGGTAAAGAGCCTATTCACTGCAGTATCACAGAACAGGAAATTAATCCCAATCATTCTGTAAGAATAGGATTTGATAATTTTACTATGCTTGCAGTAGAAGTCAGGGTTTTTTTCTAAGCTGCAATTCTAATCTAGAAAATGACTTCATAAAAATGACATCGCACACTCAACAGATGCTTTATGAGTTCAGACATGTCTCCTGAATTCAGTGGCAATAATTTAGTGCATTTTTAACTTTGGCAAAAGCAACAGCGCTAAGAACCACTGTGCTGGACTCTGTTCCATTTTGTCTGTTAACTGAAACTGAAGAACAGTTGCTATAGATGAGCATGTATGAGAAAGAGACAACAAATTTGTGTTTCAGATGCAATTTAAAGTTTATATTGAAAACCTTTTCAACTAGTAAGAGCACATACAACATGTCAGATTCAGAGAGGACCAAAGCTAAGGCCAGCAGTGCCATATTTATATAAAACAGAAGATAAATCCATCTTGAACTGCTGTTTTCCAGTGCAACTCTTGCTGTCAATGTCTACTTCTCCAAAGGCTGATTTTCTAAAACATAAAAAAGCCCAAGAAACCCACGAGTGAAAATGAAAAAGAATAGAATACAAATCTCGGAATTGTGAATACCATGGTAGCACCCCTTTTGAAGACACAAGGATAGTTGCAAGAAGCTACTTAGTGCAGGGTTTCCTAAACATCACTTCTGGTGCCCAGTTGTGTTGTTCCACTCTACTTTAATGAGAGTTTTAAAGCACCAGCAATTAAATTCAAGTATCTGCCATTCTGGAGGAAAAATACTGAACTTTACGGTTAAGCTTTTGCTACACCTACTTAGTATTTTCTCTGAACTCTGCTTCATGGATTACAAATTTGAAGTAGTTATTCCACATTCAAGGTTTTGAACCCTGAGTCTGCAGAATCTAGAGAGGCACACAGAGAGCAAGAGAAGCTCTGTGAACTATTTCTGAAGGTTTCACAAGTAACTGGGAGAAAAACATTCATTATGTGGTTGTAAATAAATTTAAAGTTCATATTTAGGCTCACTTTACAGGGATACCTCACTTGTGTACATAAACTGGGCAGAAGAAAATTAAACCTCATAGCTGTTCCCATAGTGACAAATCTCCTGTTGGAGGCAGACTTCAACAGAAGTCTCTAGTGTGGAAAACCAGTATTTATTTGCTACAAAATTCAAAAGAACAGTGGGTTTACATGGCATTTTCTTGTCTTGGTCCCATTTCAGAGCAATAAAGCAAACAGTTGCCAGGCAGCTGCCAACAAACTAACTTCTTCCAGAAAATCCTGTTTAATGTTTTTCTAGTCATTATCTGTCTAGTCATATCCGTCACTATCATTGAAAGAAGGGACAGAGATACTAAGCTGAATAGTCTCCTTCTGCCTGTAGTTAGTGAATAGTCCAACAGTACATCTCAATCCAGTCACCAAGTTCTACTCTGATCCCTAGGTAAGAGGCTTTTAGTCATTCCCTCAAAACAATTCCAACATAATAGCTGGAAATCTAAGCCTCTAACACAGGCATAAAGCAAACAGCACAGCTAATGCTAGCATATTAGGCAGCTTAAAGATGGATACAGCCCTAAACCACGTGCAGTGACTAACCACAGCTGCCCAGCCTCCACTCCCCAGTGCCCATACTGCACAACCACCGGCAGCTATAACAACCTGAGATGCAAGATGCTGCTCCTTTTCTCTTATATGCCACTCACTCCATAGCTTCAAGACTGGTATTATGCACATCAGTATAGCTAGCGTGAGAGGTGATTAGGATAGATACTCTAATTACTAAAAACTGGTAATGAGACGAGATTCAGCCTTCATCAGAACAGAGAATGCTGCACTGAACAAATGTCAGTCAAGTAGTCCTCGGTCTTTTCCAGTAGATCTGTTTTCCAAAGTACCAGTTCATTTCAAACACATGAAACAACCTTCCAGTAGTGACAGTCTGACTGTAACCAGGACTCCAGTTTATACTGGTGAAAGATTTCATGATCATATTCCTACACTACCCCAACTCCTCCAGACCACCAGTAATGCTCATTTTCTGACACTGCATATTTTCACCTGAATCAGTAACAAAAAAAGTCGCTTTAACAAATATTTGGGAGCATCACCTGTTTAACAATCAAATTTCACAGAACCATTGAGGGAAGAGGGGGAACAGCACCAAACCAGAGAAGGGGAAGACCTCGTATTATCCCTTCATGCTGAAGTGCCACCACCATCAACTGACCCACGAGTACCACAGTGCTGTGCCATCCCTCTCCCGTTTCCGTGCTAACTCCAGAGCCACCAAGAAGGAATCACACGCTACAAGGAAACAAAGATTGCTGCAGCCCTTTGCTCTCCCACCTCTCCACCACTTCTGAATTATTAAAAGTGGCACAGCAGTATCACAGCTGGAAAGCAGTAGTAGAATGATGGCTGCTCATCTGTTACTTCATTGCTGGAACACATGGGATAAAGCATGGACACAGGAGAGGTGCCACTGCCATGAAGAGTTTACCACAGTATAAGAAGCAACTGATATGGTAAAAGAACGACGTAGTGAATGAGGTGGGGCTCAAACGTTTGAAGGTCACAGAACTCAACAGCTATGCTGTAGCATGAACATACCAAAGCACAAATCTTCAGAACTGCTCTTGCTCATACCACTTGGGGTACCTGCTCCTCCTCTGTCCTCCCATACAGTTCCCACTTGACAGTATCTTTACTCTTTCCTCGCATTTTAAAGAAAAGTGTTATTCCTTGCATTTAAATGCCCCTGCAATCCTTCATATTCTTTGACAAGAGCTTCCTCACTTTTGCCTTCCGTATATGAACCACATCCTTAGCAAAATCCTGATTACCAACATTAAATAAATATTACAGGCCAATATGCCTACTGAGGAGGTTAAAACATCCAACCGCTTCCATCCAGCCTGCCTGCCCACCCTCCCTGTCCTGATGAAATGGTGTGGTTCTGCTAGAAACCCCAGTTGTGACTGCCAGACAATTTCTGCTCAAACACGATCCTTTTCTTTAGTCTACTGTGGACTTCCTAAACCATCTTTCCTATGTGAAGAGCACAGTTAACAGAGTTGTTGGTGACGTAAATCTTAGAG